AAACAAGCTGCGAACCTATGTTGCACTCCCCAAAATCACATTCCCCGCCAAGGACCACTTGTGTTGTCCCCACCGACTGCTCCGTCTTGTTGGCGAGTTGTGCCGCCAGCCTGGCCACTTCGGCGGAGATGTTGGCATCTGTTGAAGCGAAAACACGTGTTGGAAAGTTACATGCAATACGGCATGGATGGACATTACAAGAGAATTTTTCGCAATAATTTTTTGAGCCGGAACGTTGTGCGCTCGGACGTAGTGTAAAATGTGTCCAGCACCCAGGCTTCATTACTGATCAGGCTTCAAAGATATCACTGTGCATTGTAATGATTTGTATGTTCAAAAGTAAATGTTTTCAAAGCTTTTCAAATCCCTTAGAAGGCTTAATACTATCATATGCACAATGTGCTAAATCGTGCCTGGAAGGAACAGTCCGCTCGCCTTTAATCTATGATTTCTAGTTAACATAAAGTAGTTTTTTTACCTTTCGGGACTGTGTCGTCCAAAAGAATTGGGTTCCCGTCCCACTGCCTAACTTTACCGTCGTCATCAAAGGTCACCCTGAGGTGTCCCAGGTACTTCCCGAAGGCGTACGCCTGCACCACTAGTACGGGGCTGGTGGGGTCGTGGTCCGGGTACACAGCGATAGGGTACACGTCATAAGGCTCTTCTGTCGATGGAGGTGGACCTACAACAGATAGCAAGCGGATTATCTTATAAATGCCATTCCGTAAACGTTACAAAATTGGTTTATAGGGACTATGATACTTTCTATTCACAGTACCTGTGTATAGGAATGTGTTGGTGTGTCCTCCAACCACGATGTCCACTCCACGCACACGTGAGGCCACTTCCTGGTCCACGAATATTCCTGTACATGAAAGCCAAACAAAAATGTGTTTCAATGTCCTTTACTTTAAAAAATGCTAACAATGCCTTTACACATGAAGTTAATTCTAGAATTACAATTCTAGAATTTTAAGTACGGGTCAGTACTACATGCACATTCCCTGTTCTGTATACCGCCATCTTAGCAATGCAAGTCTCATGTTTAGCGCTGTACGTAGCGATAGCCTGTAACTGTAGACAGCCTCAGTGCCGAAGTACACTGTATCTCGTACCTGCATGCCCTAAGGCAATGATTTTGTTGATTCCCTGGTCCAGTAGTTTGTCTACCTCAGCCTGCACCGACTCCACAAGCGCGGTAAACACCACATTATCTCCTGTAAGCAAGGACAGTGTATGTGTTTGAGATTAAATCTCAGAAACGGACGTTTGCTAGCCAATTGTCAATTTTACGGATTTATTTTGCAATTATCTCACATTTTGCAATTATCTCACTCTTGCTGATGACTGGACTTGATAACGATAACTAACCCGGGTCGGAGATAAAGGGTGTATCTGTAGTCGTGTAGCCAACAATGCCGAGATATTCTCCGCTCACGTTCAGGACGACTGAAGGGCTATATGCAACGGGAATAAGAGATTTAATTTAATGATCCACGGAGGCATACAAAAAGTTGGAATGTTATGTATAAAAATGATCTTCTGGGGTTGTGATGGCAGAATGAATACTGTTTTCATGAATGAAACGATTAAGGGATTATAAGATAAGATGTTTAACCTGAAGAGAGATCGAAGCTCTGGTTCCCTGCTGGCGTTTATGTTGGCGCTCACTACAGGAAAGTTCACCTCTCTGAGAAAAGCGCCCAGTTCTCCCACTCCGTCGTCAAACTCGTGGTTGCCGATAGTCTGAAGTATAGATACCGGGTTACTTTTTACTAGCAAAGAGACTCAAGTCAGTGATACTGACATTCCCCCTGTTGTAAGGGTATTTCCACTCACTAAGTGTGTATGGACATGAGTTCGCAGTCTAGCATTATGTAAACACTGAGGTAGGTGGCTACACTTTGTTATTACCAGCTGTTACAAAACGTTGTTCCAATGTTTCAAAGTTGAAGTTCTCGACGCCAGATGGAGTGAAAATGGTTGGATAAAATCCAGAGCTTATAGATATGTACTTTGTCAAAAGTCTGATACTTAGAAAGCTCTATAGCTACATTTGTCCACAAATATTGTTTTTAAAAAAAACTTACCATGGCATCGTACCGCAGTGCGTTCATAAAATGTGCCAAGACGGAGCTCTTAAAGAAGTAGTACCATAGCGTCCCCTGAAACCAGTCGCCGGCATCAAGCAAAAGCACGTTATCGTCAACACTCCGGACTTCTCGAACTTTGCTGGCCAGGCGGGCGACTCCTCCGAAACAAGGTCGGCCCGGCCGGCACCTGCCGCCGAACGCATTGGTCTCCTCGATACGGGAGTGGACATCGTTGGTGTGCAGGATAGACAGGTTGAACGAAAGAACAAGGTTGCCTGCTAAAAGGAAAGGCAGGAGAACGAAAGAACGCCACATCGTTTTATCTGGAAACCGCAACAAAATATGGCAAGCCGCAAAGCAACGTTTGCTTAAACAAAGTGTGCGTGTGTGTGTGTGTGCGTACTGTAGGTAAAATAATGAGTTGAGAAGTTTCCGTTGCATCACGGGAGGAAGTAGACTGAGAAAAACCTTTATTTGCAAAGTGCTGGGTAATTCCGATGCCACATATAGCTAGCTATAGTCATTAAGTGCGGATGAGATAAAAGTCGTGATGAAACCTTTCAAATGCCCCCTGACTATATTTGGTCAGGTAAATCGGTTGTCAGGAAACGATGTACAAGTAAACGTTCTAAACAGCTAGCGTCATCATGAGACAAGAATACTCACACCCCCGTCAGGCAGTAATGCGTCACGTCTAGCAAAAGAATTCGGTCTGCTACCTCCCTGTTTTACATTCTCTCCTGACAAGGAGGTTGACGAAATACATGACATTGTGTACACAAGAAACGTGATAGCCTGGTTTTGGTCCCCTCGGGGGCGGCAACTTTCGGGTGGGCAGGAGCGCAATACGAGATCATGTCCGTAAATAATCTATTAACCGTGTCCATTCATCTTGTTTTGTTGTGACCTGTACTTAGCCAAGTGTGGCAGAAATGTGTAATAAAGGTCTTCATTCATTCAATAAAAGTACGTTTCCTATTTAATAGTCAACATTGCATTTTTCGGTACCATCCAGTTCCAACTCACATCTCAAAGTAGACGCGTGGCTATGGCAGACTGAGTGTTTTGTAGTATTTTCGTCTTCAAATGGTTAGGGCGTTTTTGACTTAACCACACATAATCTTTGCAAGAATATGTACAAGTTTGAAGAAGCCGAAACCTGATAGGTGTTTAAAGCTTGTGGAACAAATTTCCACAGACCCAGGCATACACTAGCCTCTACCTGGCGTCAGGAAGCGACTGAAAAGAGTAGAAATTCTCCACATAGACAGAAAACATGTCAAGGAGTTGGTCCGTTAAAGACTACTCTTTCCAGTCGCTTCCCGAAGCCTGGAAGAGGCTAGGCCCATGCCATTGATCAAGCTGTATATGAACACGAATATACCTTAGAAACTATTCACGCGCCTGAGAAATCTTTGCCGCCAGGTAGAGTTTCTCTGTATTCGTGATGTGATCTGGCGATCTTTTCTTGTGCGCGTGTTATAACTCAATCACCCGAAGTGGTGTTCTATATATACACAGAGCGGCCCACGAGGAAATGTCACGAAAAAAAATCAAAGCATTGTGATGAAGTACAGACATGTTGAAAGCCCAGTCATTTCCTGTGATAAACGTGATGTCTGGAGGGCGTAACTAGCCACGCCTAGGATGTCTCTGGTCAGAACTGGACCACTGCATTACAGGGATCGGAGGAGTGACAATATGGCCCATGTTGTAAATTTTCAGTCACATAATAACATAGATCTAAAGAATACTGGGAGTGAAGGTATTAAATTGTAGGTTTGAAGTGAAGGTTTGACTCGTTAGTTCCTACACACTTTTTTCAAGGAAGTGGTGGGTCATCAATGTTCCGTTCTTGATAAAAACCGGAGTTGAACATTCGAAAATTTTGGTGAGGACAATCTTTTGTTTTGGGACGTACAGTGCAAACCTGTTTTGAAAGGACTTCTATACCAGCACAGATAAACTTTCAAGATAAACTGGTCGGATAGCCCTTGGCCAGTAGGTGCGTAGCCGCCTTCTCTATAGAATTGATCCAGGCCGTGAAGTTTTATACGTTTGAGTTTTATGTATGCCGTGCAGCATAGCACCAAATGTGAAACACATTTACATAACGTCAAATCCGTACTTTGTACTGTGGACCATAACATAGTTCAATGCCATACTTTTGACACATTCGGTTGCCTCATGCCGACCTTTGAACCTTTACCTTTGAAATGGCACAAGGAAGTGGCGTGGTATGACTAGCTCGATCAACAAACTTTTTCTCGGAAACAGGGCTCGCCGCTCGGGCACTGACATGACCGCGTCGCCTCAGTAATCCGCAGGTGTTCTCAGTCACACAACACCTGGTTAATGTGTTGTCACGTACGGGAGCACGTAGTGTTGTCACCGAGAGGAAGTTACGGCTGGTGAATCTGAAGTGAAGGCCGTTAACATTAACAGCGGACATGTGAGTACCATAATTAAAAGACGTCGTTGTGCTATTTATTGGCAACTCGCCAGTGCATGTAATGGAGCGCAGGATCGTTTTGACAAAAATTATATCAGCTATTCACTTCTCCCTTTCAAGTAACGAACGTCGAAGTTAAGTGCGACAGTAGATTTTCAGCATTAACGTACATGTTTTACCCTAGATATCTCAATAGATAAATCAGTGGGGATCGCGTGTTAAAGTTGTGGCGATTCCTTACAAAGTGAATAGTATGACGGTAGGCACGCTGACACGAAAAACTTTCACACCCCAAAATATAACATTGAACATAAAGAACCTCAAAATTGAGCAATTCCTTAAACGTGATAAATAGCCCGGTTGTCTTGACCTACTCTACGTTGACGCTTTGAATGTGGCGCACATGTACATCTAGTAATGGTGCAGTTCGTCTACCATGTGGCAGGGGCGCAACTGTATTGATTAACTTGTACGGAGCAGAACACGTACAGTGCGGATGACACCAAGTCAAAGTGATACAAAGAAATGGAGTTGCATGACTTGACAATAAACTTGTCTTGGAAAAAGATCTCACCAAACTATACATTGTGTACATGTGTCTTATAACATAACAAGTCACTGTTTTTTATGTATCATAAACTCATACTCATAATATCCTTAATACCATTAGGTAATAATTCTTCCTTGTTCATTTTTCCTTGCTGTGATTTTAAGGCTCTGAAATGTAATGTTAAGTTATTTTAAGTTGCCTTTATGACTGTCACAGGTTTAAGCTCACAGAAAGTTACAATCATGGAGTGGACTCAACACCGCTCCTGGAGAAGACCATTGGACTGGTCTTACAGGAAACAGCAGAGAAGAGCCCAGACAAGGAGGCAGTCGTGTTCTGTGCCGAGGGCATCAGGAAAACATTCTCACAACTGTTGAAGGAGGTGTGTTATCTGTGCAATCAAGACATGATGCAACAACTGTTGTATATACGACAAAGGGGACACATTTAGCCAGCTCTCAAAATGTTAAGCACTCTGAGTGTTGTCGGGACCCCCACCCTTAAGTCTTCAAACTTTAAGTTTCTTGAGGGAATAATTCATACCCAAAGTAAATTGTTGTCACTGCGCTATTTAAAGCACATATAGGCATAGGGGGCTATGTGTATGATTATGTGAATACATTCATAAAGTGCATATAGAATTATCAACAAATTTTGTTATTTTCTATAAACCAATGTAGACCGATGCTCTAGCGACTGGACTACTGGCCCTTGGCTTCCAACCAGGTGACCGTCTGGCAGTCTGGTCGCCCAACCGGTATGAGTGGGTGTTGACACAGTATGCAACCGCCAAGGTCGGCATAATACTGGTGGCAGTCAGCCCTATGTTTGGGCCAGAGGAACTCAAGTATGCCCTGAACAAGGTACTGTCAACCACAATGTTGTGTAACAATAATACTTTGTAACTGTATGATAGTTCAGGATGTTCACGATTAGTCATTTGACCATGTACACATACCATACAATTAAAATATATCTAAATCTTAATAACATACACTTTTTCTGTCCTAATCTATTGACTTCCTATAAATCTCCATTGTTAGCAGGAATGACTAGCCTGAAAAAAGTTGCACAATTGAATGATGTCATTTGATTGCATATTTTAAATGTTTTTTCCTCCATACATTTCCATCAGGTCCAGCCTCAGGGCATTGTGATTGCTCCAACATCTCCCAAGAAGGACTTCCACAAAGTTCTGATGTCTGTGGTAAAGTCTGAAACAGGATCCCCTGACAGTCTGAGTCAGCTGAAGATCATCAGTATGGGAGAGGAAACAGAGGGGTAGGGCAGGTCTTCTCTTCTCATCCCAACCACATGTATCATCCGTATTTAAATCTTTCTTCCTCCCTGGACTGTTATATGGTAGTTTTGGCTAGTCCTGATGACCATGACATGTGGCCGTACCACTAGTTCACTTTCTGTTCCTTTACTATGGCTAGGAGGCCTTCAACACGCAAATTGAGTTGACTAATTTGATGATACATACAAATGTAATTGTGTACTAATTGACAAGTATCTTTTTTTTTCCATGTACTTCAGTGATGTTCTGAAGTTCTGGGATGTTACCAAGAAAGGAGGAGAACAGGAAGTGGAGAGATTGAAACAGCTACAACAAACCCTCCAGCCTGACCAGCCAATACACATTGCCTTCACCTCGGTATGGAGTGAAAGTATAAAATTTACTTCCATTTTTTCAAACATCACTTCAGTTAAAAAAGGTTTATAAAGATTTAACCTGTATTACTGCTGTAACAATGCTTCAAAAATGTTTTATAAAAATTCAAGCTGTATTACTGCTGTAACAATAAGTTTTAGTTCCAAGTAGCAGACATTAAATACATTCACTTACTGTCAGAGATTTGTTACAGAAAGGATGTTCATCACTATTTCCCTTTCAGGGTACTACTGGGCCTCCTAAAGCACCAGTCTTCTCACATCGCCATGTGATCAACAACTGCTGCTTTACTGGCCGCAGACTCAACTATCATGAGGAGGTAAAGGGGACATTGAAAATGTTTATGACAACAAAAATTAAAATCAAATGAATGGATCAATTTCATCAAGTAGTACTGTATTTCATCAAGTTAAAATATGTTTGTTTAGGAGGTCTGATATTGTTGATGCATGAATCTATGCCACTGCAACAGGTATCAGAAGTTGTTGCACACAATAATGTGTTCCTCCAATACACTGTCATTCATTGATGATGGTGATTGTGTTTTTCCAGGACCATCGCCTGTGTGTTCCCATGCCCATCTGGCGTGCACTGGGCATGATCGTGTGTAACCTGAACCCACTGGTGTTTGGTCACACTGCTGTCTACAGCGGTCCTGACTTCAACCCCATAGCTGTGCTGGCAGCCATTGACAAAGAGAGGTACAAAACATTATTGCAACAATTATAATATAATGTTGTCTTGTTTTGATAAAACATCATAACATTTCTGAATAATGCAAATTGTTTATTTTATTAATTCAAAAACTATACAAGAGTTTGTAATGATCAAAGAAATCTATCTGACCAGCATTGCAACAAGCTTTGTTTCTTTTCCATAGGTGCACATCAGTGTATGGTAATTCTCCCATGCTAATGGCCTTAGTCAAGCAGCCAACTTTTGGAGACTACGACATCAGCAGCTTGAGAACAGGTAAGAAGCCTGGAACACAGTTGTCAAATGATGTACTAAAGATATGTATCAATGGTAAATGAACTGTTGAAAATATTGACCAGTGTGTATTTTGAGAGAATGACTCAATCACTTGTATGTTTTCTCCAGCAACGATTGGCGGGCAGGGTATAGGAGGTTCTGACCTGCCTCTGCCAATGCTTCAGATGTTTAGGCAGAAGCTGCATCTCATCAATGTGACGGTAATTTCTCTAATGTGTCCTTAATCAAGGGTTTTATAATGTCCTTGCTTTGATTTATCTGTTGGTCAAAGGAATATCATTGTTCAAGCCATGCACAATATCACTATCAGATATTTATGACTCAGGACAGATTTGTTTCCTTGGTTCCTTTTGAATATGTTTTTGTGTGTGAACAGGTTGCCATGCCCATGACAGAGTGTGGCCCAGTAGCTTTCCAAAGCGTCCTTGGAGACCCAGATGAAAAGCTTACTTCAACTGTGGGCTGTCCCCATCCTCATGTGGAGGTAAGATGTGTAAGGTAGTGTAAGATGTACATAAAGTCATGACATTCAGGGTTAAATTCCAGTACAGTACCCCACAACCCTGTGGAACCAGGCAGGGCAAGTCACCAGGCAAGGCAATAACCACGGCAAACACCTGTTTGGATTGTAATAAATTACTACAATGTAAATGTTGCTGTAGTTAAATAATCCTTCTGTGATCAACCTTTAGTGTAATATATTGTTTTTACTTACAATCCCTTCAGGTGAAAGTTGTTGATGATGCTGGCTGTACAGTTCCTGTGAACACTCCTGGACAGTTCCTGACCCGTGGGTACTGCACCATGCTGCAGTACTGGGGGGACCAGGGGGAAGACAGACCAGGCTTTCACTGCAGATGGCTGGTTTCAGACTGGGTGAGTTGGAAAAGCTTCATCACAATTAAGGAAGCAACTTTTTCTAGCTAATCAAAGATTGCAACAGTTAAACATTTGATAGATTTTTTTTGTTAAAGACTCTTTTGGTATATCATTAAAAGAAAAAGAATGAAGCAGTGTATCATAATGATTGATATCGAAATAACCACTATTCACATATTTTGTCTGCTTACATGAAGAATCAAACTGTTTTTTGCTGCTTACATGAAGAATCAAACTGTTTTTTCAAACACTTATTTATAGGGACATCATATCTATGAATGAGGATGGGTATGTTAAACTCCTCGGTCGGGAGTCAGAACGTATCAAAGTTGGAGACACCTACATCTTCCCTAAAGAATTAGAGAACGTCTTAAGATCCCACAAGCAAATCACGGATGGACAGGTAAGTCCAAACTGAGAAAAAGCAGGCTAAGATTTAATCAAGTCAGTTTAAAACATTAACTTTGTTATTATAATGTTATAAACAATTTAGTTGAAAATTCTTTTTTTTCACAGAAGTGTAATAATTCATTCTAAGCTTAGTAACATGTACTGTAGACCACTCAGGTATTTTGATTGGAAGGTTGGCACTATCAGCAAAATACTATCAGGTGTGATGAACAATACTTAAGTCAACCATGCATGCTACTTGTAGTCATATCTACATGTACTTAATGTCCTTTTTGTTTGTGTCTTCAGATAGTAGAGGTGTCTGTTTCTGGAGAAACCAAGCTGTGTGCCTGTGTTGTACTGGAAAGTGCAGCCTCACTGACTGAAACAGACATCTTGGATTTCTGTAAGGACAAGGTAAGGTTAATGCTATTGATTATTTTCAAAATTGTACGTAATAAATTTTGAATTCAATGAAGTGGAAGAAAGCTATTGGAAGATTTAAGATTTCAGTTGAAGTTCTTTACCATTGTTTTCATTTTGTCATGATAACAAGTGAGTTTAGATCATTTAATTAACAAAATCTGTTACTATAATGAATTTGTATTAAATGGACTTGCAAATATCTACAAGTCAATCTGACTGAGTGAACAATTTACTGAAATGTAAACCCTTGTTTCTTTTTTGTCATAACCAGCTGCCTGCTGTGAAAGTGCCACAGTTTGTGTGCTTCTTTGACACTTTCCCCCTGACTCCTACCAAAAAGGTGAGTACTGGTATCTATCAGCAGTCAGGATCCAAGTCTGACATTTTGATATTAGATTTCTTGCAGATTATCTCTGTCTCTTCTCTTGATAACCCTTTGTCACTTACATAACTTCTTAACTAATTAACACAATCATACTCTTTCCAAATGTTGATAAACCAACATGCTCTCTGATAACACATAATTAACTGAGTAGTTCTTATATTCAGTAACTAGCCAAGTAGTAGTGGATACCAAATTATAATTTGCAGTGGTCTGATATAACCTAATCAGTTTCTCTTCAGTCCTATACTAACACAGCAAATGAACAATTTTAATTGTTTAAAGCATGAGACTTGAAAATGGAAAAATGACAAAAAATCAAATGTCTCTGTCTTTTACAGGTGAAGAAGTCAGAAGTCAAGCTGGAGGCTGAAAGGAGACTGAATCTGTCCTAGAACAACGAGCCTTCCAGAGGAGTTTGATATAAGATAAAGATACAAATGACAAGGGTGATTACTGTATGGCAGTATGGACGCTATGTCACAAGGGCATTTTTTTAGAATGATAGCTAGCTACAGGATACAGATGCAGAATGTTTTAATCTGTAATGCCTTCAATATTGAAAAGAATAACTTTTTAAGGCCAAAGAAATATCAATGGGAGTTTTAAGAAATAACATTGTTTACATGGCACACAGTTTTAATTGATATGCAAAAGTATCTGTATCTGTATAGCCCGTATAACTGCCATTTGGCGTAACACACCAGCTTTGCAGAAGTTACATCAGATTCTGTGACATCCAGGGTTCAGTGATTTCTGAGACATGCAGGCATTCCTATAATGCTGTACCAATTGACTCCAATAAAATACCAACCAATATAAATAAAGTGGACCTTTGTGTTCCTTACATACATGTGGTGTATATCTATTCTTTGGCGTACATAACCACCCCTATTTTATAATATTGAGAAATCTCTGGAAAACCAAGGAGGTTAAATACTTGTATTTTAACCTCATTGGAAAAACAAAGAGTGGGTTAGTTAGTGAGTGAGTTGTTATTTAGGCACATCAAACAAGACACCCAGGATACATTTTAAAAACCTGCTTGACCTGGTAATATCACACATGTATATCATGCTGTAAGGCAATTGCCAACCCAAGCTGCTGTTAGGTTTTCTGCCGCTAGAGGTCGCCGAATCACTGCCTGCCTATAGAGCTTTTGCCGGAGGTAACCGATGTAATCCATTCCAATCGACTAATCTCGAACCAGATTCATTTGGGGGTTTACCATTTGTGCTAACGTTTCCAGCTGTGTCATGATGACACCACATTTGCACTACTTGTTCAGTGGGTGTGGTGCCACCACTTTCACACCATATTTTAGCAGACAGGGATTATAATGTTAGCAGATAGGATAAGCTGCGCAAACCACTTCCTGTGGTCAATTACAATTTACGATTTTGACTCCAGTCCAGACGCTATAAGGAAGTAAATTTCTGTGGTGTTTTGACGCTATATCCGGTTCCTGCTGTGTTCTTAGCAGACCTAGCCATAGTTTTAGACAACTACCTTCATTATGTAGATTTTGAAGTAAATTATTGTTATTTCATACTTTGTTTCAATATTCTTTTATGTTTGTAACTTGCAATTAGCCTTCGGGCATGGATTTGCAATAAACGTCTTAATTAATTAATTAACTACAAACCTCTAGTCCTTTTTTGTGGCAACACGAAGGCATGAACGCTTCGTACAACATTTATTATTTTTTATAATTGTCCATTCCTATACATAATTGACCTTCTACATACAGAAACTTATTAATATTGTCGCAATGACATTTTACAAGAGGACTGAACACAGCATTTTTAGTTTCCTTTCAGTGCTGTTCGTAGCGGGTGTGAAAATCTAATTAAAACCCGAGACACTCATACATGCATACAAGAATACCATAGGGGCACACTGCCGTCTTCCCTTTACGACATGGCAGAACCTGGGAGCGATTTTTTTAGCAATTTTGAGGACGATTTCGAAATCATATTAGAGTACGAAGAATATACTGGGCTATGGGGCGATGATCTCTCAATAAAAGTTATACAATTTGCTGCAGCTGGATTGCATTTTTGTGTGTCGCCTACAGCATGAACAAAAATGTGGGAGTATATGGAAAGGAACATAAGTTCGTGAGTACTCTCCAAGCAGAGGTTGGAGGGGGAAGATCGTTACCTTTTTATATACGGCCCCCTTTTTGTCTATCCCACACGCATGGACCCTCTATCTGGCCAATGGATACTGCCTTGCCAATTTGATACTGCCTTTTTGCTACCCTAGGATCTGCTTGGAGATTAGTCGTGAGGTCATCGACCTGTTAGACCTTTCTCGGCCTGTCTAACAAACCGGTACAGACTGGTTTATCATGTTACAGGATCTAACAGGATGTTTGATCATGATACTGAAGTACCACAGCTCCTTCCTGTTATGTAATACTTCCTTTATTGACTGAGGGGACTATAGGTACTAAAGCAACGTCATAAGGAAACAAATTTCTGCAGAAATCTCCGACAAACACGGCTGACCCTTTCTCAGAAATGATAAACGGACCTACGAAGGCCAGGTAACCGTATAAAAACCCTGTAGTTCTATAGGAGGCTTACATAACGTCTGTTAGTCGGGTCGGATGGTGATCTCAGTGAGTCCGACGTCTACGTCTGTTGGTCGCATCAGATGGTAATTTCAGGCGAGTCGAGTCTGACGTCTCCCGATGAATAAGTGTTAGTTTTGTAACATTGTCGTCAGAACACAACATCAGGGAATATCAGCGGGAGATTGAAGGTAGGAAGAAAGTTTTAGTATGAATTTTACATGTAGTTTTACAGGGTTTGAAATACACACTTTGTATGCGCAGTTGCGCCGCGCAATGGATTTTGCTTGGCGCAACTTATCACTTATTTCTAACTTAGTGAAAGGGACGCCGGTTTTAACAGGCGTTCTCAGTCTTAGGTAACGTTATATAAGAGCCCCAGTGTACAGACCTGGGACTCGATTGTTTGTCTCGCGTCGGTCGGCAGTCTCTACCAGGCTTCGGAAAGCGGCTGGAAAGAGTAGAAATCGGCCAAAGAGAGAGATAGCTTGCCATGGGAGCTGGTCTGCTGGAGAGAACAGTTTGCCGCTCTATGATCTGGAGGCAAAATGTTCTCTCTAGCGGACCAACTCCCTCGGCATGTTATCACCGATCTCTACTCTTTCCAGTCGCCTCCCGAAGCCTGGTAGAGGATATCTGAGAACAATACTGCCTATAAGCTACTGTTTCGATTATGAATGATCGGGAAAAAGTCATCTAATTGTAATTTACTCACACTTTTCAACACATTTGTGCATTTTTTTCACATTTCTGACATTTATGGTTGGCGCTAAATCAACCCACACGATCGCGAGGCGCACTCAGTTTGTTGCACTCCCACAAACTACCAGATCTATAAAGTAAACCACAGCTTTAAATCACACTCGTAAGCCGTCATATTTTGGCACCTCCACTTCGAGCTTCATTTCATGACGCAGCTCAAAGTCAATAGATTTTGAAAGTGTTTTGTTTCTTTTTGTTTGATCAATTACTCAACTGTGTCATCACATGATCAGCTGGATGTGTTTGTACAAGGAGGGTCAAGTTGACCTTGGTTCGTGCTTGCGCGCGTGCGTGTTTTCTGATCGTTCAAAGACAGGATTATGATAGCATTGACAGTATAGGTTACGCTGGACAGTTTTTTAATGTTATCCAGTATATTTCAATCATTACCGTCGACGAGAAATTTGTGTTTTCTGTGCCGTTTGTCTGTGGGTGTGCCGGGATAATTTCCGCTTCACCATGCGCAGAGCACTAGTAAGTACATGTAGATACATGCATGTAGGGTGTTTAGCTGTCTGATATGTTTTATGCGCGTCGCATTATGTGACCGTGACATGCTCACCACCAGATTTCTATGCATGGAAATATACATGTATGTTGTTTTTAATCATTGCCTGATGGTAAGGTAAGTTATATACATGTAATGCTGAGGTCACAATTCCAAACTGAGCCTCGACCGGGCAGCTTTCGTGAACGAAAAGTATGAAATAAAAGACAACAAAACCAACAAAGTTTTAAAAGTAATCACGAGCACTATTTGTGTATGTTCATGATATGGAATGTTGAAAAATATATATGAAAACGGGCCCCGGTTTGGAAATGTGACCTCAGCACTGTGAAGACAGCGCAGTTATATTATATTGTGTACGAGAAAGGCGAACGCACACTTGGATCACCTTGCATAACTGCTGTTTTTGTATAGGCCTTCTAGCGGAATGTAAAATGATATAACAGAACATATATATTTTCATGGCTTCATCACACTATTGTGTTCTCTGGCGTTTCTTCTTCTTCTTCTCCTACTATACCATTTCGTTAAATGGATTCAACCATTTTGTAGCCTGGATGCCAGACCCAAAGCACACTGGACACAAAATATATCCAGTGTGCTTTGGGTCTGGCATCCAGGCTAACCATTTTGGGGCCGGGGCCAAATAACATGAAATTTGGCATGAAGGTAGAGTGGGCAAATACCCCCAGGCGTTTGTTTAATTTTTTTAGATACAGGCTTTTGGTTTTATTTGGGGGGGGGGGCATTTTCCAACAAAATCTGTACATTTGGGGTCCTTGAGACCTGGTATTACACTCAAATCATCTGAAATTTGGCATGGGTATGCTTTACATATCTACCAACAAGTCATTATAACTTTTGGCATGCACCCCTTTAAAACTGTATACTTTGTACTGTTTTCAATGCCAAATAATTAAGTATACTTACTGTATAGCAAGCACGTCGGCAGAACGTACTGCGCCTGCGCAGAACCCCGTATTTTCGCGTTTTTCGTTGGGTTTTTGGTCAACGTTGCATCAGAATTTTGCCTGTTGCAAAGGATATTCTTTCCCACATAACATTTGGAAACTACTGTGGAAATGCTAACCTTATATGAGCGAATACAACCTTATATGAGACGTTCTGCCGAAGTGCTATGTACAATACATTACGGGTTTCACGCAGGTGCAGTACGTTCTGCCGAAGTGCTTAGAATTCCCTCATTGATTATGCAAATCAGTATCTGATTTGCATTATCATTTAATTTAGTCTCAAACACTAATAGATATACGTACCAAAAGTCGCAATAATTTTTCAACGCCGTTCTTTAGTTATACTTTTTAAAAGTCTCAAGCACAAATGGCACCTGCAGTTCCAAAAAGCTGCTAGGGGGCCATACTACTTCCTCACGAGGTCAAAACCTACTACTATATGCCACTCAAAAATCATGACTCTAACGTGTCCAGAAGACCAGAACAAAGAAAAAGGAAATTCTGCTGCAGTACCAAACAATACCATCACTGTATCGAATTTTGCAGAATGTATTTTATCTGCACGAGTAACGTTATACGTATCTAACCATGTGTCTCATCAAATTCAGGAGAAGATCACATAGACGTATGACGGGGCCAGTGGACACCACGGCATTCCAACAGGCGGAGCCCGCCGAGGTGGGTTGAACTTCCCTTGATAAACTGTATTTCCAATGTTTATCATTTACATGGCTATACATTTGGGACTCTAGATATCACAAAGTTGACCTTGATCATTTCACACCTGCAATCCAAGGAGCTGGACAGACAACGCAAGAGACACGAACAGTGCCTATCCACGGCATTCTTGTGCGAAAACTGTGGCAAGTACTGCAGAAGTAATGCTGGTTTGGCGGCACACCGCCGCACCCATCGTACTTGATTGGAGCAGATCGTCCGTCAGGACGACAAGACTGAGACTGATATACAACCCGTGTATCATTTTCCTGTCGATGGTTTTTACAGATGGAAGTCAGTAATGGCCATTTCGACGGATTTCTCGACGAAAGAAACTCTTGCGCACATAGCAGAGAAAAGCGATGTGAAGAGACACAACAGCCATGCCACCAACCAGGTCCAGACAACGACAACTGTACACTCGCTATAGTCGGCATCGGTGAGTCGCCATTTCGTTTAACTTTCTAACACTATGTAAGTACTGGCCGGACCAAGCAAGTTACATTAATTTTCACGAAGACAACGTTATCTTGAAAGTTCATCTGTGTTGGTAGACGTCATTATGAAGCAGGTTTAGAAACTGTAATTTCCAACAAAGTCCAATTTCTTATGTTGGAAATTACAGTTTAAATTTGCTTCATAATAATACGAGTACAATGTTTCTTATCCATCAGGTGATATACGGTTCTATGCGTCTTACAGTTGCTGTTTAATTGTACATGTACTCTGTTGTAGATAGATTCTTATGGAGACAAATTTAATTTAAGGTTGCCGGATGCCTGGCGGCACAAACACCCCTCGAAGTTTTGGGAAGTCATCAGCGAAGGAAGAAACGTCATCACCGAGGTTCCACCAGAAAGGTGGTCCCTTGAAGCCTACCACAGCACCGATCCACACCAGTCAGGCACCCACGTCACACGCAAGGCTGGGTTTGTGGACGACATCGACATGTTCGACCACACCTTCTTCAAGATCTCACCTCGTGAGGCCGCCATGATGGACCCCCAGCAGCGTCACCTGCTGGAAGTGACGTACGAGGCGTTTGAAGATGCAGGTATCACACCTGAGAGTGTGTCTGAGTCGTGTGGTGTGTTTGTGGGAATAGGCATGATGGATTATGCTTTGTTCATGGCAGGAGACAAGCACCTGTTCAACTCATATGTAAACACAGGAATTGCGCATAGCGTGGCCGCAAACAGAATCTCCTATGCCTTCAATCTGAAGGGCCCAAGTCTTGCAGTAGATACCGCGTGCGCAGCATCAATGACAGCCCTCCACATAGCGTGTTCCTCACTGAGGAACAAAGAATGCAGCGTCGCCCTCGTAGCGGGTAGCAATGTCCTCCTCATGCCGGAGGTAACGGTAGCGTTCAGCGCGATGGGGGTTCTATCACCTGACGGGTTCAGCTGTCCGTTTGACGCTTCTGCCAACGGCTACGTCCGCAGTGAAGGTTTTGGAGCCGTCCTGATCAAGCCTCTCAGTAACGCCATACGAGACAGAGATCACGTGTACAGCATCATCAGGGGAAGCGCCATATCAGACAACGGCTTCAGTCAGAGCATCACCATGCCGTCCTCCAGTGCACAGGAGCAGCTCATGAGGACAACCTACGCCCGCTTCGGAGTTCCCCTCTCACAGGTCCTGTACGTCGAGGCGCATGGAACAAGCACACCCGTCGGAGATCCAGCAGAGGCTGAAGCAATTGGAAAAGCCTTCGGTCCACATCGCGCCTCCCCCATGAGGATCGGGTCTGCCAAGAGCAATTTTGGACACATGGAGTGCGCTGCAGGCATGGTGGGCGTCATCAAGACAGCACTGATGCTGGACAGGCGAACCCTTTGTCCCTCCGTCAACTTCACCTCACCGACTCCTAAAGTTGACTTTGAAGAGCTGGGCATCTCTGTACAAACTAAAGTAGAGAAATTTCCTGACAACGAAACCGTGACCCTTGGCGTGAACAGTTTTGGATTTGGAGGAGCCCTGGCCCATGTCATCATGGAAGAGCACAACGCTACACCGCCAGCAAGTCCGTCTTACCACAGGAGGGGATGGCAGTTCGGACCAAGTGACCAAGAAGGTGAATTCATCATTCTGCCGCTGAGTGGAAAGTCTTTAGACGCCCTCAGAGACCTTTCTTCCAAGTGGCTGACGTTTCAAGACGAGAGAGATGCCCTCACCGTCTCTTCATGGGTAGCGACGCGCAGAAACCACTATCAAAATAGACTTACTGTCGTGACCAATTCTGGGGCGAGAGCAAGAGAAGGCCTGCAGTGTTACGTCAACAAGATGGCTGCTGACGATATCATCACCGGGACAGCACAGAGTGACCGCCCTAAAGTTTGCTTTGTATTTCCTGGTCAAGGGCAGCAATGGGATGACATGGGCAGGAAGTTGTACCAACTAGAACCTGTGTTCAGGGAAACAGTCGATACGTGTGATCAGATCTTCACACAAGTCAGTGGATGGTCCATTTTACAGAAGTCCGGCTTGTTCACCACAAGCGACAGTCCCACCGAGTTCACACTTGCAGAAATGAAAGTCTCCCAACCCGCAATACTTTTCACCCAGGTAGGGTTGTTTGCTTTGCTGAAGCACTGGGGCATTTCACCTGACGTCATCGTCGGTCACAGTCTGGGAGAAGTTGCGGCAGCCTATGCATGCGGTGGTCTGACGTTGGACGAGGCTATTCGAGCTATCTACATCAGGAGCACAGAACAAACCAAACTGCAGGGATCTGGGAGCATGGCAGCCATGCGTGCATCAAGGGCAGAGGCTGAGGGGCTTGTGTCTAAGTGTCCGGGTGTGAAACTGGCGTGCGACAATTCTCCCACATCTGTCACAGTAGCAGGAGCGACAGAAGCCATTGCTGAACTTCAAGATCAAAACCCAACAAAGGTGAAAATGCTGCGTGTCTCCTGTGCCTTCCACACCGACCACATGGACCCCATCAGAGAATCCTTCCTCCAGGCGATGTCTTCCGTACAACCAGACAGACATGGAGAAGTCCCCGCACCTTTGTACTCCACAGTGACAGGGAAGCACTACACTGGGAGGTTTGACGGCCAGTATTGGTGGGAAAACATCAGAGGAGAGGTCAAGTTCACCTCAGCCGTTCGGTCCATAATCCAAGATCACAATCCTGACGTTTTCATCGAACTTGGTGCCTCCGCTACGCTCTTGTCGTCAGTCAACCAGACACTCAAGCATGAAAACTGTCCAATAAAAGTCACAGTGCCATGTGGACAACGTCAGCAAAATGACCACAAATGCATGCTGCGTGCCTTGGCCACACTGTACGTGAATGGTGTGGACATCAACTGGACAAACGTAACCCAGGACGCGGCTGAATGGGCGCCGGTTCCAACATATGCCTGGCAGCACCACCAGCATTGGCAAGAGGCCGAATCTTCACGGAAAAGGAGGCTGGGTCTTGAGGATCGCACCTTCAAGGGACAAAACGGGAACATCACGCTGGAAACGTTCCCCTTCCTTGCAGACCACGTAGTGAATGACAGTGTGGTGTTTCCAGGGGCGGGATACATCGAATACATGGTGCAGATGGCTGTGGATAGCACTGAGAACCCAGCACTAGACGACATTCAGTTCAAACACGTCCTTGTCTGGCCAGAGGTTAACGACCTCAACAAAACCAACGCCACCATCCAGCTGACGTACACAAAAGAGGGCAGAAAACTAGAGGTAGCCACAGACAGAGTACACGCAGGGTGTTTGTTCATCCAACCTAACCATGTCAGCTCAGAGAGTGTCCTGGACACGACGCCTACAGAGGCCATGGAAAAGGTCGCGAATTTTTACGAGCAATTCGGTGACTTGGGACTGAAGTACGGCCCCGAGTTTCAGGTTGTAAACGAGGCCTTCGTAGGCGACTGGAAAGCCATTGGTTTTCTGAAGCCAGCATCAGATGCACAGCAAAGAGTCCAAACGACAACGCTGGATGGATGTTTCCAGGTTGCCCTCGCTGCCATAGGGCCCTGCTCATCTCTGTACCTCCCGACTCAGATCGCCAAGTTTAGGATGTACGTACCCTCTCTACCACTCGGGGAACAAATGGTAGCACATGCCACGGTTGTCTCCCGTTCAAGCATGTCAGTCAAGGTTAACATAACACTTGCGACAGCCCAGGGGAAGATCCTTGCACAAATCGACGGGTTCGAAGCGACAAATGTTTCCGGCATCAACTCAGACGTCGACACAGACAGCTGCTTGTATGAGACGAGATGGCAGCCGGTCATCTCTCCTCTGCCGGAAACAAGTATCTTCTGCGACCTGTTCAAAGACGAACATCTCCAGAAACAGTACAGCGACGACATGAAGATGATAGAGGCAGCAGAGACCGTCCTGCCAAACCTCAAACGTCTGGCGTTATCCTACGTTCAACTTGCATTGGATACCGTGCCAGACACTGAGGTCAATCCAAGAAACAAGAGGTACGTAGAGAGGCTCAGAACCATCATCGACGCCGTGGATGAGGCAAAACGTGACACGATGTCACTGGATGAGATCCACAAGTCCCTAGATGAGATGAGAAAAGAAGTACCGGCGATGAAGCTCGAGTTCAGCATGTTGCAGCGCCTTGGAGACATCCTGCCGACCATTCTCCGGGACCCCTCAGCTGCCCTGCCGATTCTCTTTGCCGCCGACTGCCTAGCTGAATACTTCATGGACTCGCTCACAACACGTCTGTACTACCGCGCCTGCGCTGATGCCGTAGACAGGCCGTGAACACCGCACTCGAACGCAAACAAACTGTTCGTATCCTTGAAGTCGGGGGTCGCATGGGGGGACTGGCAAGCTACCTACTGAAACCTCTCAAAAGCCAAGGAGATGCGGGGCACGTTGAGTACGTCTTCACCGATCTGAACACAACCTTCTTTGCACATGCCAGTCAAGTACTTGAAGATTACACTTTCGTCAAATACCAACAGCTGGATATCGAGAAATCGGTGGGACCGCAGAACTTCATCCCAGGAACGTTCGACATCGTGGTCTGCATGGACACCCTTCACTCGGCGGTGGACGTAATGGAAGGCTTGCAGAACATGAAAAGTCTGCTCTGTCCTGGTGGCTGGCTTGTCATGTTTGAAGCAACAAACGCTTTCTACATGTGCGAGGTTGTGTTTGGATCGTTGGAACTCTGTTGGGTGTATGATGATGACTACAGGACGGACACCTGTTGGCTCTCCAGGGAAGGCTGGAGCAACCTTTTCGCAGATGGAGGAATGCACGATGTAGTGAGTGTGTCTTCACCCCAAGAGTTCTTCCATTCTATCACCATCGGCAGAAAACCAACGCCCTTGCAAGAAGCTCCTTGTAGTTTGCAAACTGACAGTCAACAGTGGCTACTCGTGGGTGATCCTGATAGCCCCCTTACCAGCACAATTCAGAACCTGCTACCACACAACACAATGGTACGTTCCATCGGTGACAGGATGGACGTCCCCAGCCAAGGCCCTCTCGTAAGAGTTGTGTACGTCTAGGACCAGAAGACGACAAGTCCCTGGCATACACCCGGTCCTAACCCAGCCCTGTACCAGGCGTCCGGAAGAGTTCAGGACATGTGGGTTTTCACAGTAAGTGGAAGTGTTGGGGCGCGTTGTCGACTGCATCTGCCGCCACGGGCTTCTTCCGAGTTGTGAACAACGAGATCAGAGACCTCCCCATCTACACAGTAGATCTGCCTTCAGACATTCTGAACGGACTGACAGACGTGGTTGGGACCTTGCTTACATCCGACCCGCCGGTTGAGAGGGAGCTGTCAATCCGTAACGGCGAAGTTTCTGACTCCAAGGCTCATGAAGACGTCCATCTCAGACGGTATCAGCACGTGCCCTCCGGAAGCTGGACTCTGGATATCGCTCCAGGGAAGACGGGAACATTGGATGACATGGCGTTCTACGAGCAAGCATCCGCCTCTCTGTCAGACAACGGAGTCAGAGTCAAAGTTCACGCAGCGGGCTTGAATTTTAAAGATGTGATGATGGCTCTTGGCCTTCTCGAAGGTCTCAACTTGCAAACACAGTTCGGCCTGGAATGTTCAGGAACAGTCGTGGAAGTCGGTAACGATGTGAAGAATATCAAAGTTGGAGACGAGGTTATTGCCTTTGGCGATCACTGCTTCGCGTCACACGTGACTTGTGACGAGCACTTTGTCATGGCAAAACCTTCACATATCAGCTGGACAGATGCAGCCGGGTTCAGCATGGTCTACATCACCGCATACTACGCCTTGATCGAGAGAGCACGGCTTCAAGAAGGGCAGACAGTGCTGATACACTCTGCCTGTGGCGGGGTTGGACAAGCAGCGATACAAGTGGCAGGCATGGTTGGGGCCAGGGTGTTCTGTACCGCTGGATCTGAAGACAAGCGCAACTACCTGAGGCAGATGGGAATGACTCATGTGTCTGACTCCAGGTCTACCCAGTTCTACCATGATGTCATGGAATGGACAGATGGCGAAGGAGTAGATGTCGTCCTCAGCTCCTTGTACGGTGACCTGCAAACTGCGACCATGAAGTCTCTAAAGCCTGGAGGCACGTTCTGCGAAATCGGGAAACGCTCCATCCTGGAAGGCGTAGGCATGGACATGGGACCACTGCTGAACAACAAGACGTTCCTCTCTGTGCAGCTAGATCTGCTGATGAAGGAAAGACCGAAGTACGTTAGAAAGATGATGGAGACAATCTGCTCTCTTCTGGAGAAGAGACTCATCAGCCCTGTGTTGACGACAGTGAAAACTNTCTCATCAGTCCTGTGCTGACAACAGTGAAAACTATCGACGACTACAAGGAGACGTTTCGGTGGATGTCAAAGGGCCAACACGTCGGCAAGGTTGTGTTTGAGACGCCTGCCAAGTTTGAACCGGAGAGCTTGGTGCCATCTTCAGAAATACTGGAGGCAGACGGTACATTCGTCATTACTGGCGGGTTCGGTGGAGTTGGACAAGCCCTGGCCCGTTGGCTGGTAGACCATGGAGCCAAGCACATTGCCCTCCTGTCCAGAAGTGGGTGCAAAACAGCTGAAAATATCCACACTGTAGAGTACATGGAGTCCAAAGGCGGAAAGGTGTACACATACGAGGTGGACGTGTCAAACAAGACGTCGCTGACAAACGTGTTGAACCATCTTAGAGCCGACACCTCGATTCCTGCGCTGAAAGGCCTCTTCCATCTCGCTGCTGTCATTGATGATGCCAATGTCTTAGACGTGAAGGACAGTCAACTGGAAAAGTCCCTTGCAGCAAAGGCGTGGGGAGCCCTCCACCTGCACGAGCTGACACAGGACGATGACCTGGGCATCTTCTTCCTGCTGTCATCTGTCACCGCCGCCTGGGGAAACCCAGAACAATGTGGGTACGTGGCCGCCAACAGCATCCTGGACGCCCTCGCTGAACACCGACACCGGCGAGGACTTCCGGCCCTGTCTCTACAGCTCGGAGCCGTCAGAGGTGTGGGCATACTGGAAGGGAACACTAAAGCAGCCAAAATCGTCACGGGGAAGGGCATGCTGACTCTCCACATTGACGAGTGCCTGCAGATGCTCGCCACGTCTGCTGAAGGCCAGAGACACCCCTGTTGTCACATTGCCAACATGGTAAGTCTGAACGATATCAGTTTAACTGTAATTACCGCGTCAGTATCTATCCTTCCAATTTTCATGCATCTAATGTCCTTTATCGGCAGCTAGGCACATGTATGATTGTCATGGTATTTTGTTTATGATCATACTAGTTTACGTACTGACTTTTTTGTCCCTTCCGTCTCTTTTATCCAACATAGGATTGGACCAAGTGTATGCAGTTCTCCTACCCGACGAGCATGAAGTTCCGTCATCTTGCAGTTGGAAAGAACAAGGAAAAAAGGGGTACGTTTCTTTACCCTAATGTATTTTAATGAGAAGTTGATTATGTGCTTTATTTATATACTAGACATGTATATTTCATCAATGTATAGTTCAATATAGATTGACATGCTTATCTCCTAGTTGTGTGTATTCATGTACTGATTACATCTTCTTGTTGACAAAATAGTTGACGCTGACTTGAACGAAGACGACCTCCGTGAGCAGGTTCTGGAGCAGCTCGGCCAGATCCTCTGCATGCCTTCCAGCCAGATTGACCCCGACCAGCCCATGATCAACTACGGCGTGGATTCCCTGATGGCGGTGGACATCGTCAACTGGATGAACAAGAACTTCGACCTCAGCGTGTCCCAGCTGGACATCTTGGGCGGGATGACCACGACCACGTTAGTGGGGAAAGCTGTAGTTGGGGAGGTAGCGCTTCCCTTGCGTAAGTGAAGGAGTTATATCAGTTATCTGTCAGGGGTAACATGCATGGATATGGTCTCTGCTGTACCCACATAATGTTACAGTCGAGATAAAGTTATATGAATATTGGAAAACATTTTCCTCACCACGAGTTGCTAAAATAGAGGATTGATTTTACTTGAATAGATTGACTTAGAGTCTGTATTTCTAGTAAAAGCTGAATATGAAGAGCGCTGTATTAACCGGGTTCTTGGTTTTGTCAATTTTCAGAAGAAGCGTAAATAAGTACAATCTATATTGTTGCAATTGTAATGTCGTCTTTTTGATGATAATGATATGCAAGGTGTTTATGGTAGGGCCGCGTGCTGAGTATTTTAAAATTTGTGCTTGTTAGTGTGGTTTGTGTTCAAATGTTTTGAAAAGTGTACTTAGCGATCAGTTGTAAACTGAGAAAATGGCTTGCCTGTTAAATTAAAGCAGATGATGTGATGCTGAACCCGTACTGATATTTTTGCACCAAAAGTAGATGAATATACATGTATTGGACTGACGTTAGAAGTTTTAACTTTGCTCGTGTTAGTGTTGTTTTGTGTATTTGACGATCGGTTGTAAACTGAGAAAATGGCTTGTCTGTTTTTAAAATCAAATCAAACTAGAAAGGCCAATATTTGCTTTGGAGCAAATACAGCGATGGCTTCACCACATTTTACGACATGGCAGGGAAAGAATGAGAAACACAAGGGAAAACAATGCTTTACATTGATATAACTATAATATGAAGTAACATACAACTAAGACTACAACAGTTGGCTAGCTATTCCCTACATTATTGGTTAGGTATTTTTAATTGCATAATGACAAACTGTTGTATTTTACAAAAAAAAAAAAACGTTCATGCCCCGCATTCCAATGCTGGAGCAGGAAAGCTTGAAATACCTACCAAAACACTTGAATACAGACATACTGTCAGTATGGAAATGGTCTGTGCAGGTGTTAATCAAGTTAAATCCCAACAGCCAATCAGCAAGAAGAAGAGAGGAAAGCTGCATGCCTATTGGTTGATGCCCTGCATTCCAATGTGATGACTCATGCCAAATGTGGTTAACACTGCCCACTGACACAGTAATACATTTGCTATAATACAGCCAAAAAACTCAAATAAAACCATTCTAAAAGCCTGTACCACAAAAATTTAAAAACGCCTAAGGGTATTTGCCCACTGTACCTCCATACCAAATTTCAGATCCTTAGGCCCCAAAATGAAGAAGCTGAATCCATTTAAAAAAAATGGCAGGAGGAGAAGGAGGAGAAGAAGAAACATCAGAGAAAACAATATGGTTTCACCAGACCACTTCGTGGTCTGGTGAAGCCATAATGATGTGATGCTGGACCTTTAACCGTAATCACAAGTAGCTGAATATACCAATTATCTTATTGACAGCTTTCATGGATTATATATGATTTCTGTACGTGTGCATAGTCCTGAGTGGAATTTGATAGTACTTTAGGATGTGGTGTGTGATGTGTGATACGAGATTTGTATAACGTGATGATTAGATATGTAAACCTTCCTATGTGATGATATTCCAACGTGTGTAAATCTGCTAGCTCACGGTCCAATCTTGTGCCGGAAATTCATGTCACATTTAAACATCAAAGCAAGGACATCTCTGTATAATGTCCATGATCAAAGTAAACAATCATGTTAGATGGACTTATCCGATTCATAAGCAGATGTATCTACAGGATTAGCCTGGAGATTAAGTGTTCCACATTGACGTTAACTTGAATATATATATTTTTTGTTCAAATAGACACATAACGATAAAAACGCTCTTCACTATCACATTTTGGATATTTTTTGCACCAAGATGGACTTACGAATGAGGCACAAAATAATGTTATTATTAATCAGAGTCATTTTATGTTCTCAACTGCTTTGCTTGTTGTTTTGAATAAAAGTGTGTAAAACGTCTATCTTGCTGGGCTGCAATGAATTATGTGGCTAGCAGAAGTCACAACTAGTTCATAAAGTTCGAAGTGTTAAAATGTAAACTGTACATCCACCCGAGGTTCAGTGTTTCAAAAGTAACGTACGTGAAGATCAACCCCTTTATATGTCCCTTTCTATCAAGTTTACCGTAGATACGTAACACCTTTACGAGTTATATTATACGTGAACCACTCAGTACAATATACGCAAAAATGACACCGACGCTAACAGTTTGCCATACCTTTTTAGGAAAAGTTTTTATGGAACCATTATCAATATAATCCACCGTTATTACGAAGTTTAACTTTTGCTATGTTAAACTTCTGCAGTGCCAGTCACTGTCACTATCGTTTGAGACTATGTACTTATTCTTCCCGGGACCTCCATGACATATTATGATGTTACATCATACATTTGTAGTCACTTAGCTTTGCTGTAAAATTCAAACGAGCTCCATTGTTAAGTGTATTACTACGTTTAATTTCCAGCTGTATATACATTGTATTGGTAGACACACCAGACTAATTGACCAATTGTAAAAGAGTTGGCAAATAAGATGAAGAACCAACATTTTATATTGCATAGCGTAGTAAGTAAAGCAACAACATATCACATAACTATGTTACAGAAACTCCATTTAAGACAGCGACATTATTTGCTTGAAAGACTGCTGATTCTGATCAGTGAAGGATTCTCAATGAAGCATTGAAGAACCCCAAAATACATCACCCCTAGCCTCTACCAGGCTTCGGGAGGCGGCTGGACAGCCTGAGTAGAAATCGGCCAAATAGAGCAATTGGCAGGGGAGTTGGTCTGCTGGGGAGAGCAGTTTGCCTCCTCCCGAAGCCTGGCAGAGGCTACATCACCCCACCCCACCCCGTAAGATATTTGAGATCCTTGGTTGAATTCATATTACATAAAACGATTGAACACCACCACCAGCACCCCCAACAACAAGACAAACTTCATAATCTTGGCCAATGAGAGGAACGGCTGTTCCTTGTCCAGTGCAGGTGACCTGAAGGGGTACAGGGTGTTAGCCAGGGCTGACTTGGCGTGGTCAGCTGCACCTGACCAGGGATGTGGCCCCAGCAGGCGGTACTGGACAGAGAAAGCGGGGCCGAAGTAGCAGAGGAAAGCTAGTTTTGGGTCCCGAGGAAGGAGCCGCCAAAACGATGGTTTCACTCCGATCTCTTCGGCAATGTCATCCCGGTACGGCACGTTCAGCATCTGTAATATAGACAGGATGTCACTTAAGTCAATGCACTCTACAATCCTATGCCTGGCACTAAATAATACAAATAAATGTACACAATTTAAGCAAATAATACAAAGCAGACATATTGGGAACAAATCAAATATAACTAAATGCGCTGGTCCTACCCCCCCCCCCCCACTGACATTTCAGGTAATGTTTGTACTGTCCATGTAGAGAAAACCGTGTTACCTGAAGCTTGACGTGGCCGAACCGCTGCTTCAGCTCCAGTTTGTCGGAGCGGATCCGATTCAGCATGGTCTCCTTATCGGGAAGTTTATTCAGACCCTGCAACACAATAAGTCAACTGTGTGAAGACCGTTGTTCTATGTACTCAGATTATTATAAGTGCAACTTTTGGTATATCTATATGGTTGTGATGCCAGAAAACCCAATGTTTTCTTTAGGCGCGAGAGAGACTACTGACTTTGAGACAGCAACATTTATAAAGTGCCTCCTGTCTCGTTTTGTAAACAATGACTACTAGTATTTGTTGGTACAGTAAATTATAAGTCTGCCCTGGCCACTTCAGTATAGACGTCGAGTTGATACACGGTGACTATTCAAACAACTGGAGAAGTGTGATCACGACCTTTAGGTGGAATTAGACAACGGTCCACTTACCAGGAACACCCTGACGGCCCAGCGAGCCTGCAGTTCGTAGATAGGAGGATGTGCCCCGATGGTAGACAGGCAGCCGATCACGGACAGGGTGGGTTTTGTCAGCTCCGCAGGGAACACCAACTTGTACAAGTTCACGTCATCCGCTTTACCTGAGGAACGGGATAAAAAGTTGCAACCTTGCAGCGTAACTCAGCTCTATACAGGTATATCATAAGTGCGCCTTTCACATAATCTTTCAATGTCATTTTTATGCATCAAATTGAAACACAATAGAAGAAAAACTAGTACAGAGGGGTCTGCAATCACCACATGAGTCTTATCAGCTTAGCGGGGTAAAACAGGTTCATCAAAGTTTGCTTTACGGTTATAGGTAGCGGGTCAAAAGCCATGCACGCCACTTACTAGGAAGGAGGGACTCGTCACTGAACTTAAACGCCAGGTTGAAGCCCGTAGCGAATACCACGGCGTCCAGTCCGTCCACTGTACTGCCGTCCGCGAACCGAGCAGCGTGCTGGGTGAACCGGGACAGCTGGGGCTTCGTCACGACCTGGGAAGGACAGTCAAGGTTACATATCAGCTAGACAGGAAGCACTGTAGGAGATGGGTAGGTTTATCACCAAGATAAATGTCAATCACCTCATTAGATGTTTAGAAGAACAGATGCACGAAATGTGGTCTGTTGTTCTACCAACATAATGGACAGTTATCAGTTTAATCTTCACCATTGAAACTTACCTGCCCAGTGGCAAATCTGTAACCTATTTCGTCATTGGCCATGACGGAATGTTTGAGTGGTTCAGCTGGACACGTCAGCCCGTAGTTGTCATGACACACTCTGGCGTTCGCCTCGCCCTTGATGATTTTGTTGACGATGAACTCGGGCATGTTCATCAGGACCCGGCGCAGCATCATGTCCCGCGGCATCCCGGCCTGAGCCAGGCGGGGGGAGAACCCAGGCACCGTCCCTCAGGCTCAGGTACACCTGGGGACGGGACGGGGGTGTCAGTATGAACAGTCAGCAGTGTACGGCTTTAGAGAAGGGTAACATGGACGAACGGTCGTTTATAGCAGTTACAATATAGATATATGTTATTCAGACATTTCTAGTTGTTGGGGTTATGGATTTTGGTGGACAGGTTTGACAAAGAGAAGAGATAAAGGTCGGAAGTGGGGTGACGATAAGACAGCAGAGCCATAACCTCTCACCTGTGACGCCACCTGAGCGATCTCCGCCGCCACGTCGCCTGCAGAGTTTCCCGCCCCTGGAGACAGAATCATGAGAGGTTATCTAAGGTCATTTGGGTAGGGTTAAACGTAAGAAGAGAATGATTTCATCTGTGTACTATGTAAATGGAAGGCGATAACTCACCTACAACAACCACTTTCTTCCCGGTGAACTGTTGGGCAGTCCGGTACTCCTGACTGTGCATGGTGACACCTGCGAAGTCCGACAGACCAGGCACGTCGGGAACGTAGGGCCGGGCGAACACGCCGTTACACACCTGGGAGGGAGTGGGGAGTTGTCAGGTAGATTTGAGAAAGGGTGGCTTACGTATGGACTGTAAGTACAACACTAGTTAGGGAAGGGCCAAATGATGAGGATCGTCGCTTGCGTATTGAAGATGGAGCTAAATGGTTGGCACTTCACCCTTATCAGATATTATCAGTTGTTGCTGCTAACATTTATGTTTCTATGATCATCAGTACGTAAACGTACCATTACAGCGTCAAAGATCTCTGTTTGTTCCCCATCGCCGTGACCCGTCTGTACAGTACGGACCTCCCACCGTCCTGTCTCATCAAAGTCTTCTGTCTTCTGTATGCGGCTAACCTGGAGGGATAACGTAAGAAAGGAGAACAACGGAACAATAATTGTAGCACAGCTCTACTGGCATATAAGAAAAAGAAGACCGTGTTTAACAATAATATTCCCACCTGTGTACCGAATCGGATGTGTTTCTTGAGGCTGAAGTGCTGAGCGTAGTCCTGTAGATATGTGTACACGCGGTGGTACGGCAGGTAGGGGGGCGTGTCCTTAGGGAAGGGGAAGTCGCTGAACGACATCATTTCTTTACTGGAGTTTGTGATGAGAGACCGGTACATGGCGGCGCCCTGGTTGGGTCTGACATCGTCAGAGTAGTACCACACGCCGCCTGGAATAGCGGTTTGTATGAAGATTTATGGTAGAGGTCGCACACGGTACATACGTAGAGGCGAAGAGAACAAGAGAATAGCGCTAGCATCGATGAAGACAACGTACGACAAGGAACTATTATCATATTTTCTAAAGTAGGCGTGGATTGTTTTTGTGGAGATTACAACGTGGCAGCAGGTGGCCTATTGACACTGGAAATAATTTTCAACATTTTCGCGATATACCACATCCTGACAGTCACATACAAACACTTATATGGGGCACCTTTCTCCCACCCTTCTATTTTATTGAGCAACATTACCAGCCGATTGTTAGTACTATTGTATTAGCTTCTCTCTTCTATTCCACGGTGCATTTTTATCGTCCATGTCCTGATCAACGCTATTGAAATCAACAAACGTGTAATGCTGTCTGGGCTTGCTTACCGAGATCGTCATGTTGCTCGAAGCAGACCGGCTGAAGCCCCTCCTCCAGACAAGCCTTGATCGAAGTGAGTCCGCTCACCCCGGCTCCTATAATGGCCACTCTCTTAGAGCCCATGGCTAGGGAGGAAAACAATAAACTTCAGTCGGCACAAGATATACTGTGCCAGTCAACACTAGACGAAAAGTTGGATTTGCACATTTCAGTAAATCCCGGTAATGATTACAAAGAAAACATTACAAGATTTTACCATACCATTGATAAATCCAACTTTAATTTTCGTGCCTTAGAAAATTATGCTTCGTTTGGGGTGTGGGGTAGAGTGGCGTAGCGGCAGAGTGCTCGACTCGGAACCAAAAGGTCCCGGGTTTGAGTCCTGACATGCCACCGATCTTGTGCCCCTGGGAAAGTCTTTCCTCACTTCGCTCAGGTGAAAATGAGTATTGTATTGCCCCCCTGTGTTGATGGCGGCATTAATACTGTATAAGTTGAAAAAACTTGTGTGCCGTCACCACGTCTTGTGACTACATGTTGGAATATACAATGTATAACGTTATATATATATATATAAATATGCTTCGTTGACATAGCAGCATTGACTCTCGCAGGTTTTCAACACCAGTATTTTCTACTCAGTGCACACACATGGCCAAGGAATATATTGCTAAGTGCATTTTGTAAGTTAAATAGCGGATAAGGTCTGCTAAGGATCGTGCATACTCTGTAAATTGTTTCCAACGTCATGTTCACTCAAGTCTCACCTGGTAAGTGTAGTCAGTCGCTGTCCGCTGGTCGTGTTGTGGGTAGAAAAGGTTTCCGTACTGTGTCGTGCCTCCCTGAGCTACCCCACGTTACACGTATGCTGTCAACAGGCCTGTCGAACCTTTATTTGCCCTTCACTGAGCTGATGTTTATGCAGTTAATCCCACTTTTTTCTTGGAAAAGAGCGAGCCTTCGGCGAAGAGAACTTCACTTCCTTGTGACGTCAGATGTCAGATGGGGGTCAGATGTGACAACAGTCACGTAAACCGACACTTCAAGAACAGACCCTTTGACCTCGAAGAACAATTACCGACATAATTACGTGCCCGACGAGGAAAGGTAACACTGCTGTTGACTAGACGCCCCCACTTCAACGCTGTCAAATGAACGAGTTGATAAATCAAAAAGCGGCTGTGTTTGGTTGTGTAATACACCGTTATCGAAGGCTATCATAGCCCGGGTAGATGATATAAAAATGTATTTTACACGTCAGGTTCTCATGACACACGTTTTAAATACACAGCTGTCTTTCTAGTCAATTCACCCACGTCATTTCAGACCACTTCGTCACACTTCACCTGAATTTATCAGTGACACAACCGTTAACCATGAATGAGTTTGTGCCATGAAATGAAAAATGACAAACTATAGAGGAATCTAGGGATAAAGAAACAGAGTAGAACAGAATTCATATAGATTGCAATTTGATAGGCTGTCACTTTTGATAAAGTTCTGCAGTGTCCAGTATGCTCCTTCCTGCCTATGTATCCATAATATTAATGTAACATGTGTTCTTCCACGTATACGGACATGCCAGATAGGACAGATTACTACTTGGAGGGCCGATTTGAACTTCTCATGAATAATGGTTCAAACAAAATCATGTATGCCTGGGGCAAACAGATAAACAGAGAAAAGAATAGATATCCCTGGTAAAGGAAGTTGGTTAACGATCATTTACTTGGTAAAGGAAAGAAAAAATGTACGATGTTATTGTATCTATCTACTCAGGCACATGGTAATACAATGGAACAATTATTCTCTGTCAATTAAACAGCATCGGTACTTATTGACCTGGCAGAGCTAACATGCCGGAAGTGGGTAAATTTCAAAGCCGGGGTCACTCAAAACGAGGAACGGGGGCGGAATGAATACACAAGATATAATTTCTTTTTGCGCTTTTACGTCTTCTTTTCCTTTCCCCTTCGACTTCTACCGTCTTTCAAGTAGCTTTTAAGCGACCATATTGTTTCTTAAACGAAACAATATGGTCGCAAACTTTTTTGGGAAATGGACGCACCTCGATGTCATCCACATAATTCAATGTGTGGCCTAATGTTTAGTTAAAGGTGATTTGGAATTATGCTGAGGGTTCAAACTTTGTTGAAAAGGAGGTAGAACGGAGCGGCGATAGCGTTTACACCTGGATTCTAGGCAAGAAAGTAGCTGCAACGGTAACGGTTTAAAAGCGCCCCTGACGACCAATAATATTATTGCAGCACAACAGGTGCTAATGCCAGAGTACACCTGCACTCGGCTGTGGGGCCCCTGTGGTAACGGTTTAAAAGTGACCCCCAACGACCATTAATATCATTGCAGATATGTTGGTCGACTACCATAGGGGGCGAACTACAATGTTTAAGGTTTACTGACAGGGTCTTGATCAAAAATTTTATCGCATTAACGGAAAACAACGGACAAGTCCATAAAATTCCATGTCTTCAGTTCCCTGTACAACCGGCGTATCTAGGTACGAAAATATTCAGTACTACGAGGAGAATTGAACAGGCGACTGTACGATGGCAAGACCCATTTTAGGGTTTCCCTTCCTTTCACCTGCTTCTTCAATACAAAGTCCCACCAAGTCCCCGTCCACTTCACATCTTCTTGAAACTCTATCACCCGGATATCGCGGGAAAGCCCGTCTAGAAGTGTGTTAGTGGCTATTTTGCACGTGGGTGAGTCATGTCCGTAATTTCACCCTGACTAAAGAAGATTTCAGGGAGATCTGAGCGCATCGTTTTGACAGGAGACACCTGTTCTGGCCATGACATCATCATGCACCTTGCAGTCTCGCGGGAACACGCGATAGTTGGGCGCCATTTTGAATATTTACCTTGGAGTTAGCAGGCAACGAAAACAAAAGTTTCAACTGACTCACCCGGCAGAGATTTTCCTATTGAGACCCAGTATGGGGTGATGGAGACGGTAACGTACCTGACACTCTTCACAGGAGGAATGGGAGTCTAAATTAAGACAGGTGAGACATCTGGACGTTTACATTTGGTGTATATATAGTCGTTGACTATCAACGTGTGGTTCGAATGGGGCGGTGTAACGTTAACGTCACCATATATAAAGGGTGGGATTGATTGAATGTGAAATGTGATGATCACGATGTATGCAAAGCTAGGCTAAGATAACGGCCAAATTGTCTGTATCTTAAGGACTGTTGGGAAAAAAGAAACGACTAGTACTCACCAGGTTTTAAGAAGAAGATGTGTGTTGACTATAATTTAATAAAGAAACTTTTCTCAAACTTTGAGAAGCCCGAGTTTTTCCACCAAAGGGAAAGTTATAAAGATCTAGAAGAAGTCCCCTTTGTCCTATTTGCGTGGCAACTCCAAAATTGCAGACAAATGTTACTTCGGCCAACCTGTTCCATCCGACAGTATATAACGTTATCTTGTAATTTACTAGTATGCAATTAACGCCTCCCAGCTGAGCCATTGATTGTTCTTCACGTTGACAATGGTGAAAGTGCAGACAAGGTGCTGTGTGACGGGTGATCAGGTAGACAGCAAACCTGGGAAACGGGCCAGCCAGAAAGTCAGGGGCAACATGAAGTCTTTGTTACATGTGAGCACTAGTGTTGGCTCACCTGATCCGCACTGGGTGTTGTGTTTGTGGACCCAGGCCTTAAAAGCAAGGCCGTTGGACCATGAATCAGTCTAACATTTCACAACACGCCAGGAATGCCAGACATCCTACAGAATGGTTTTCAGACACTACTAGAGTTGTCTAAAACTAAAGTTATCAACGCCAAAGTAAAGTTTTCCAAAATCTCAACAGACATGTTACCATGTTATGTGCTATATGCCACTCCACCAGTACTACACCTATTTGAACAGGCATCTGAAAACAAATATTTATTTTGGGGATCAATTCACGAAAAGCCCTTTTCTGCAGGATAAATGGCAGTTTAAATCAAACAGCTAACTCAGCCCAACAGTGCACTAAATAATTCACATCTGTTGAATGCATTTATGGCATGGTGTCCAGACCATCTGTCAAATGCACTTATTTCCCCTCTTGTGGTTTATAGGTGTACTGGGGCTAATGGGATAATGACAGTAATAAACCATAAACAATATAATACACCATCATTTGCAGAGAAATTGTCTTGCAATATTGTTTTTTATTTCATTTATTTATCAATCTCAAGATGGCTGGGTAACCCTAAAACAGTGTAACATTGGTGATTTCAGTTATCATTTTGCTGTGGTGTTATTCCAGCAGCATGTAAATAAGCCATCGCCATAATAAGACCAATGCCTGCTGCTGTTCCGTCCAACTCCCCTGGAGGTGCCAACCACAAGCTGCGGCCTCTGCAGAAAGCTGGCAGGTCCCACAAACACCTGCTGCGCCACTACCACGACATCGCCTCCAGTCTCTTCAGCTCCGAGAGACTGCACGGCCTGGAGGAACTCTTTCTCGCAGCTGCCAAGGTAAATCATAATACATGTATTATAAGGTACATCAAAAGTATACGTACATTGTTATATGTTACAATACTTCTACCAGGTCACATACATTTGTATACCACCACCCTGAAAAATGTATCTACTAGTAAACAATCTGTATCATCAGCCAGTAAATTGCACAAGTTTCAGAATCTGCATTCAAAGTGGCAGGTACATGTTAATAGAGGTAAATCTGCTTAATATCTGTTTTCTTTTTTACTATGTGTCAAATTTTCGAATAAAAATCCTTTGCTTACTGTATATTTCAAATGGAGATTCTACTCATCGATCTAATAATGTGATGATTTTGAAGGTAATGATTTGGCAGACACAGCTGTAATATACTCCACAGAAGAGAAAAATTGATATTGCACTAATATTACCTGTTCATGATTTGATGCTTAGACACAATAAAGAGAAGTAGTTTGCACAGGAACAATGATTCACCTTGAAAGTGATTCCCACAGAAACTCTAGACTGTAATGACTCCCCAGGTGAAAGGAAAGTTTTTGAAAAAGGAAAGTACATGTAGTCAGCAAATGTGAGTTACTGATATTGCCTCTCTGGTCATTACGACAATAAGAGACTGCTGTGATCAACAAAGAAGGTGTTCAGGTGTCCAGTATTGAGAATCAAAGTAAATTCAATCATTAATCGTGAGTGTACATAGCTTTGTTAAATGCTATTTCTCTGATCAAGACAGGTGCACATAAGAGTACTCAAGAAGGACAGCTTATTAGAGACATGCTGCTTAATTGGCAAATAAAGATCTTGTGTTGAGCCTATCATTGATACAAATGTATGTTCTAACATATTTTAGTGTATCTTGCCTGTAAGCATATGAGTATGACTTTTAAAAAAGGGAATAACTTAATGACCTATTCTGTATTTCAGGATGGTGACTATGAAAGGGTGTTCAACTTCCTGCAGCGGCGCAGCCAAGATGTAAGTACCAGAATCTGGATAAAATATAGCAAACTCAATCACCAGGCATGTACAATGTACTGTGTATATAGTATATGTCTGTACCCACACTGGGCACGTAATCAGAGCATGACCAGAACAATGCACCAGGTATGGTAACACTCCTCGTGGTCTTAGGCGCTCCATGTGTTCAGACTTTTTTCACTGCCTGCCACCTGCCCCTAGCCTGGGTGCCATCCCCAGTAGTATATTCGCAAACTCTATAACTGGGTCTGGACTTGAACACAAATAAAACGATTGGTGATGACGTCACGTAATGAGCTAGCCCGAGCAGCGGGGCTTCATTTGATTGGCCGAGCCTCAGAGGCGACGGCCAATGGCGCGCCTGTATTATTCAAGTGATGTTTGTTGTTTTGTAAACACAGATCTTCGCGCGAGTGTTCCTTTTCTCGGTGCGTTCTATTTTTGCGAGGTCAACATCAAGCTCCGAGAGCTGCGGCTTGTGCGTCAGCCATGTTGATGATCGATCGCGGAAAGTACACTGACTACGGCTATATCAAGCGCGCTTTAGCGTTCGGCGTCGGACATGTTGATGATAATAAGATAAGAATAACGATCTATCTTAACGTAGCCGTTCGGACGTTCGAACGGACGCTAATGTCGCCGTTCGGACGTCCGAACGGCCCTTACCTAATATGTACACACCCAAAAAAGGGCTTAGACGAGTAGGACCAATCAGCGCGCTCGTTCAAAATCTGAACGAATATTTAGACTCCAGACGCTACATATGTGTGCAAGTCCAGACCCAGTTATAGAGCTGGCGAATATACTACTGGGGATGTCACCCAGGCTAACCTGCCCCTGTTTAACAGCCTGGTTTGTCTTACAGGTCATCAGTATTGATGTGAAGGAGCCAAGAACAGGAAACACGGCCCTGATCTGGGCTGCACAGAAAGGCCACACCAGGGTATGTACAGTACTGACTGTGGTTTCATGGTCCATTTGGTTTCCCAGGGTGCAGTATCCATACGCTGGTGGTTATGTACAGAATAAGGTCTGACTTGTCACTGTGTTCTGGTCCAGTTGTCACATAATCCAATATTGATTGAATACATATTGACTGTAAGTTTGATAGAATGTTTTAGTTTTTGAGTATGACACTGTTTTCAAGAAAATATCCTGTCTGTGTTACCAACAACAAAACATCAGGAAAGGAAGGAGTCAGGTGACTGATCCATTATGGCCACAAAGGGCTTATCCTGGCCTAGTTGATCATTATCAACATAATTGGTCATGCCCGAAAAAATTACATTGAGATGTCTGTCTGTCGTCTGTCAATCTTTAAAAAAATATGTCTGACTCAGTTCTTTTAACAATGTATTTAAAAAATGGAGATTGATATCAGTGTTAGAAATATCCATCTGCAGTCTGCATTTTGCAGAGAAATTTTCAATGTTACGGAAGAAATTAAGCAACCTGCAATTTTTCAGTTGTGTCTGTATAATATATTGTTTAGGAGTTTAATATGTGCTTACAACTGACTTTAAGATATAGTCAAGTTATGCATGTATTTTTCAAATTGCATGTAAAATATTTGCCAACATGCAATTTTGAATGGGGTTAGAGTCAGGGCTTAAAAGTGTATATTTGCAGAAAGTATTATTTTCCAAATTGCAGAACAATATTGTGACATTCTGCAATATTTCAGAACGTTGAAAAAAATTTCTACCACTTGATATGTTTGCATAATATACAATATATTCTGAGTTACACCATTGTTTTGACTTACAGATAGTAGACCTGTTGTTGAAGTACGGTGCTGACATCACATTACGTAACCATGAAGGGCAGACGGCCATGGACCTGGCCCCGTCACACCTGTGTCGCCTGCTGCTGGAGTCTGTGGACAGGGTGGGGACATCTCACCGTCACCTGCTGCAGGCAGCCTGGCAGGGCAACACCAGGAAAGTCAGGGCACTGCTGGTAAGGCTTTTTGTATCAAGGAGTATGTAGTGTTGGGCTTACAACTTACTTAGTAAATACAGACCCTGAAATACATTCTTCTTTTAGTTGAGTCAAGGAACTATAAAACTACTAGTAGTAGTAGGCAGAAATCCTGTCAAGTTCTTGAGGATGTGTAATTTCTTCTAGTACACAAATGTATATTTTTCCAGATCATTTACATAATGAGCAAAATATTTTGGGAGAAAAGTTTTGGTATTCTGTTTTAGCTAATTTGCAAACATTCAGAGATGTTCTTGTATATTAACACCTTCAAACTTTGTGTCCATTCCAGGCTGGTCGTAAGGCCCTTGACATCAACTGCAGTAACTCTGAAGGCTTCTCACCCCTCTTGTTGGCCACAAGGGACATGGACATGTTCCAAGATCGTACGTTTCTACCCTTCTCTCTGGGACATATAGTGTATAATGTGATTTTATACAGTTCTTGGTACAATGTAAATTGATTTTCATTCCTACCAATACTGCAGTAGAGGATTTTTTAGGGCACACTTGGAAACTATTATTTGTGTATACATGTACATTTTATTCTTCCTTTTGCAGTTGTTCCAGGTCAGCATAATCCTACAGAAGTTGTGAAAGAGCTGATTGGCAAGAGAGCGTAAGTATGAAAATCTAAAAGTTGGTAAAGGCATATTAATTCTGATATTGATGTTAATATTCTTTTAAAGGGTTTTAAAGAATATCAATGTTATTGATGTTTTGATGAAAGGCATGTAGATTGACTTAACTATATGAGTTAATTTGATTTGAGCCCCAAAACGTACAGATTGAATTAACTTCTGGAATCATCCCCCTTAGAGATGTGACTGCATATGATGATGAGGGTAAGACACCTCTTCACTTGGCTGCATCTGCTAAAGGTCAGGGGTCAGAGAAGGTCGTGGCAGCTCTTATCAAAGGAGGCTCCGATGTTGGTAAGAGACCGAGAACATTAATTTTAGAATAGGTCATTTCAAAATCATCATCTCTCTCTTACCAGAGTCTTGGTGATAAAGGGAATAATTTGTCAGTCCCTTGACTGAAAATTTTATGGCAATTTCAAATGGAATCGGTCTGTAAGTTAATATACAAGATGTCATATTTCATCCCACAAAAATTCTGTGGGAATTTATAAGAATCGCTGCATCAGTAGTGTGCTTATTGTTAGTCATGTCCATGTAGATATGATTCAGCACCAAGGACAGGGATATTGTTGTTGGCTTGAATGTGAACAGAGACAATGCACATGTGTCCTGAATAAATTTGACATAGAAAATTTTATGGCAATGTCAAATGGAATTGGTCTGTAACTTAATATGCAAGATGTCATATTTCAGTTCACCTTCAAATGTATTTATTTTTTTACAGATGCTCAAGACAAGCGAAGTCTGACTCCCATCCACTGGGCCTCACAGGTTGGCAAAACGTCCTCAGTTCTGACACTGATAGAGGGTGGAGCTGACGTCAACATCAGAGGATGGTCTGGAGCTACACCTCTACATGTCTCTGTATGTATTCAAGTTTCCTTGTTTTACACCAAAGTAATGATAACATCAGATGAAGTACATGCAGTTAAATAATCTATAAGAAGCAGACAAAAGTGCACAGTTGAACAGATTTGGCTAATGAACAATTCAATCAATTAATCAAACAACCAATCAACTTTATTTTAGTATAGCATATAAAATGTCAGGTAAGTTGGCAAATAGTTCTATACAACTACATGTAGTTTGATATATATACACTCTTTTATTCAAAGTGAACAGGGACTACATACCAAAGTAAGAATATGATGATCAGAATGCACAGGAAGCATTACAAGTTTGTGTCTGAATAAATCATAATTATAATACAATACTCTTTTGCATGGTTATGTATTGTCTAAATATAAGGATACAATGCAAGTATGTGAAGAATGTATTGATTGGTTTGTGACATTCCTGTGTTGTATTAATTTTACCCCCAGGCCTCCCATGGCCATGAGCAGTGTTCAGCAGTCCTGCTGGAACATGGGGCAGACATCACCAGTGTAGACGACGCAGGCATGACACCTGCTGAGGTGGCCAAGGGAAAAAGACTCAAAAGTGCACTCAGAGGTTTGTCATCTGTAGAATGTAGTTTTTAGTAGGAAAATTATTAGACAGCATAATCATTATGATATGACAAAATTATGGTTTGATTTTTACTTAGCATATCATGAAGGACCATGCAGTGATATGTTTACCTCACTGAAATGTCATATCAGTTACTTTGCTTTACGTATTGAATTTGAAATAGTAATTGTACTGTCTGTAGTACAGATGTTGTAGTCTGTAAAATAACAAAGGGTTATTTGTTAATAATTGATGAGTGAATAGCCAGTCAGTGGGGCAACAGTCTGCTCAATAAGCTGGGCAGGTAGATTTGCTTTTTATTTCACTACATGTTGCTTGAAATCATTTGAAGCAAATGTTAATATGGCATGTACATGTACAATGTATTCCATTGTGATTATATTAAATAAAGAATCTTTGTAAAAATGAATCAATGCATATTGGAAAAGTTGGGCACTTACATATGCTCTCAGTATTGTAAAGTAAAACAAACAATGTATGAATTGTTCAACCATCGCTGCAATAGTGACACAAAAGAAACCATTTGCATGTAATTACACATTAACCAATGTCATAAAAATAGATTTAACAATCTGAATGTCTTGACCAAAGACCTGCACAGAGTCAAACTGAATAAGGTTGTGCATACATTATTTTGAAAACATCTCAAATTCTTCCTTCACTTTAAATTTCTATTTTAATTCATTTATTTCTTATTACAATAACAGAGGCATGGACAGAGGCCACCCATTCTGACACAAGCAGGGAACTAAGTCCAGTCCGACCTCCGTCCAGAAACCCTGCAGGTAAGGATGGGAAAATTAAATGATTTATTAGATCTGTTATACCTGATCAGTTCTTCACAGACACTTTGCTCTTTGAGATGACACATGTTTTGTGTAGATAGTGCCAGTGCAGGGACAAAATCTTGCAGTGTGGTTATGTGTGACCATGTACTAAAAAAACATACCCCCAGGGAATAAGATTTTAAATGACCACCTTTTCATAGGACTAAGCTTTGTGTCATGACCTTTTCCTTTGTTTGTCTCTGCAGAACAAAAGGAAGAGCAGACTTTGGATGACCACATACAGGGACTTTCCTCCAGCCCGTCTGCCCTGAGCTCCACCCCCCTCCGTAAGTAATGAAGCAGTGATTGGTTGTGGTCATGATGTGGTTTATTCACAACATGTCATCCTTTGTTACATCATGATCAGGCTGTCACATTGTAACTACAGAAGTGACCTTTCAGTAGCCTTTCAGTCTGCACCAGTTCTAATCAATTATGAATGTGAGACACAAATTCATTTTGTTAGAGGGCTTTATAATATGCATCCATGAGCCCCTTGGACTAACAGTGTACTGGTAGGACATATTGGTGAACAAATCATTATATTTTATATTGTGTGTTTTATGATAAAAACCTTGTATACATTGATAGGTTTATTAGCAGCAAGAAGGTTACAGTGACTACTTGTTTAAATACACTTCCTTGTCCAGTAAGATGGTAACAGTTAGAGAAACAGTTATCTATTGTGTAGCTGCATGACTGTGTCGCTGTCAATTTTCTGAATCTTGTTGTGGTGAGCAAATTTCATTACTGATGACTGGTTTGAACACAGACATCCGGGCGCTTCATCAGCTGGCTGCAGAGGAGAGGAGACTTCATGTGTCTGATCCTGGCATGGCTGATGGAGAGTCAAGTCCAAGGTAAGGTTATACAGCTGGGGCTAAATCATCAAGATGTCATGTTTTATATGGGAGATAAGATCAAATAGTGGTTACCGGTACCTGTTTGTTAGACTAAGTTTGCGTCTTTTATAGAAATAATTCAATATGTTTATATGTGTCCCACATTAAGGTGTGCAGCATGTACCAAGTTTGTAATATGTATAACGTTAATGATAATATTGTTTGTTATTTTGAGCAAGGCAATGTAAGATTTTTAGCTAATTAACATCAAAGGCATTGTTTTGTTCAACAGTAGATAATTTTAAACTTGACTGTGATGTCTTAAAACTAAGTGCAATGCTATGCTTTATGTACTAGAAGCCCTAGGCTGCAATGTTTCTTTTATGAAGAAACCACTGGACTGATTGATTGATCGATTAATGATCATAGTAATTACAAAATTGTTTTTTCATTGAGAATGTTGACGGGAAATGTTGTTGTACTTCAGGGATTCTGTGAGGAAGTTAGGGGTTCCTCGTGTCTCCAGCAGGACTCCCCCCAGACACCATAGGACCCCCCAGAACTGCAGTGACAGGGCCACTCTGGCTCCTCTCATCCTGTCCAGGGCACAGGTCAAGCAGAACAAACTCAAGACTGCCCTGGGCGGGGGGACAGACTCCCCATCCTTACACATCAGGGGGAAGGGCAGGCTGAAGATCACAACTATGAACAGACACTGTGAGTAACTACATGTAGTACTGTAGGGGCATGTTTGAATAGATGACTGTAGGTGGATTCATGGTAAAATTGGACCTTGATTTGTATTACTGCTACAGTGATTCTGTAGGAATTTATAAGAATTGTTGCATCAGCAGTCTGCCTATTGTTAGTCAGGTCCATGTAGATATGATTCAGCACCAAGGACAGGGACAACATTATAAGTTTGAATGAGAACAGAGACAATGAACATGTCTCCTGAATATATTTGACATAGGAAATTGTAATTTTGGACCTAAATATGATTGATTACAGCTCAAATGGTTCATTTATATGACTGATGGAATGATGTTTAAAGATTTTGTAACAATAATTGTATATGAAGTCTGCTTATTGTTAGCCAAGTCTATGTAGATATGATTCAGCACCAAGGACAGGAACAACGGTGTCAGTTTGAGTGTGACCAGCAAAATGCTTCATTTGTATTTCTGTTGGTCTAACTCTGTGGGAATTTGTAAAAATGATTGCATCTGGAGTCTGCTTATTGCTATTCCAGTCTATGTAGATACAATTCAGCACAAAGGACAGGGATAACATTGAGAGTTGAATGTGAAAATGGCAGAGTATTATATACATATATGTCCCAAATACACAGTTTATTTTGCCTTTGTTTCTGACAGGCTGATACAATGTGTGTGAAAAGTGCAGTTAACGTAGATAGAGCTAGAACCGTACATATGTAATATTTTAACAATGTACATCACAGTGATTCAGTGGATGCTGTTCATTCATCCTGTATGAGAACTGGATGTAACTTTGTCGTCTGCCCTTTCAGCTCACCCGTCTCCACGACAACAGGATCAGCTGCCACAGCTGGTGGCTCCAGTGTCCGTCACCATGCTGGAGCTGGGCATGGCAGACAGTGTGAGGGAGAGAAGGTAAGGAGAGGGCAGGGTTGTCATATGAGCTGCCCAAGACATTTGTTCCTGATAATGTCACTGAAGTGATAAATCCTGATGTTGTGAAGTTTAATGCTGTTGTATTCTTTGGCTATTAGGTTAAGTGTCTGATGCTAAATAAGATACATTGTTTGTACATGTGCAGTTTATTTATAGAGTGAACTATACATATATTATGTGTATCATTTTGCAGACTTCAGAGACTTGAGAACAGTCCAATTGGACCCTTGATACAGAGAAGACCCAGAATCATGTCATACTCTGGATCTGCAGGCAGCAAGAAGTAAGTGACTTTCAATCACACAGCACTGCATCAACTGTGTAAGGAAAAAAAATGCTGGACCTGGAAAGCTTTTTATACCATTTCTGCATGTTTTAATACCATTAACTCAACAAGTTAGTTTGTTAACTTGAGCCCACTTCTCTGCAGGTTTTCTCCGCGGGACAGACGTGTGAATTCTGACCCGTGTGCGGGTGATGTGGCAGCAGCGTGTGAGATGTACATCAGACAGGCCAGCCGGCTGCAGTACAGGCTGCCTTCTCCTCACCTGGAGCACCTGGAGGAGAGCAGGTCACTCTGTAGTGAGGTAAGTGTGACAAAACAATTCAGCTCATCTCTAAAACTGTACAAGGCTTAAAAGTAGTAGTAAAGATGTCAGAAAGTGCTTATGAAAATTCTTTTAACATCAAGATGTAGAAATCTATGAAATATTTTGTTTTAACAGGTGCGTGCAGGATTTATGTTTTTTTCTTCCCTTTTTTTCAGAAGGAAAGTCGTGAATCTTCTCCCTTCCTCCCCCCTCCCTCACCTCGACAGTTCTTGTGCAGTGGAGGGGAAACATCTGTAGAGACATCTCCTAGAAGTCAGGGTAGGTATCAAAATACATGTACATTGTATTTAACTTTGTGGCATGTAATGATTAAGACTACCTGTAATTACTTGAAGTGCAATGTTTCTTAAAATGTGTCATACTTTTTATGTATCTAATTGACTAATTCTAATATGTAAATTAATTTGCTTCCAGATGGCAGTACTGAAGATATTGGAGAAAAGGAAGGTTCTATTGTCAGTGGAACTAATACGTCTTCACTGCTCTCAAGATCTTCATCATTTGTCATAGAAGACAGTCAGCTTAGAGTAACGTCACAAAGACTTGCGTGTGGCAAAGGCAAGGGAGATGCTCATCATAGGAGCAGGCCACCTCTGGTTTCAGACACTCGTCAGAAGACAGACGTTCCTACTGAACATTCCAGCTCACCAGATTCCACAAGTCAAGAAGTGCAGGCTGCAGGTGACAAACCGAGTGTAGCAACAAGTAATAACCAGCAGGTAGTTAGTGCAGGACAAGGAATATCTGGTGAGAAAACAACAAAGAATGGTGCCAACACAAAACCATCAGAAACCCAGAAGAAAGACTCCAATAGAGCAAGTGGAAAAGAGGATAAAGGGTGTAAATCTCATGTTGAGAAAAGCCCACAAAAATGTTCAAAAGAGAGTGAGGAAACAACAGGCATATCAGAATTTGTGGTGTCAAAAGGAAGTGCAAGCAAAAACAACGCAGCCAAGAAAAGAACTAAAAAGAAGGTAGCTCAGACAAGCAGCTCCGACAATGTTGTGCCATGTGTAAAGAAGACTATATCCCAGTCCTCTGTGAAGCCTAAATCTTCACAGCAGCAAGAGCGAGTCTGTGAGACTCCTGATTCTGACAGATATGCCACCATCTCATACAGACTGAGTGAACAACTCATGATGAGGAAGGACCAGAACTATTATCTTGTTCAGCCAGCTGGAGAATGCAAGCATAATGCAGTAGAGGTTGATTCTTCTCAGCAACCAGAGTGTAGGGAAACTGATGTTGCACATAATTTGTCTAGTTTTGGACCAACAAACACACTGCCAAAGCTGACTGCTTCTGAAAGCACAAATAACAGCTCCACTCAAAGCAATAAAACTGACAGTAGCATTACTAAAGACACATCTTCCCCCAACATTGTAAATACTGATAGCAATGTGCAGTCTAATATGATTTTGCCCTCCGTTGAAATTATCAACCCCACCCCACGGACAACAATGGAAGAGCCCACACCAATAATACAAGACTTCCTCAGCCTCCTACCAACTCTCACGCAAAATGATGTACAAAATGTCAAGCCTAGTAGTGCCAAACCCACCAAGAAAAGTGCAGGAAAGAGAACTAGGGAGACATCATCTAACAGACAGCAGAGACAGGGCTCCGGCAGCTCAACTAGGTCAGGTAAGAGTTTGTGTAAGTCGTCTGCTGCGTCTACTACATCTGCTAAAAAGTCCAGGTCAGGAGAAACTGCCAGCACACAGGCAGCAAAGGGCAAAAACCAACAACCTGCCAAACAAAAGAAGAGCAAGAATAAGAAGAAGGAGAAAGCTGAAGAAGACCTGAGCAAGGTTGATCAAGGTGCCATTGCTTTTGTGTCTGGCCTTGGATGGCACATCCAGACAGATTATGCAGAAACAGACTATGCACCCTCACCTGACCTTCTGAAAGAAATGACATCCCCAAGGGAAGACACAAGAGAGACCAAACACACTTCTAAGAAACAGTCTAAAGGGTCAAAGGCACAGCTTTCCCCACTAGCAAGGTCCCTGAATGGACTAAATGCAAGTAATTCAGGAAGAAGACATGGAAATATCGGGAGTATGGTTCGAAACTACTTTAAGGAAGGAACCTTGAGCAAATCCCTACCCAAGCTTCTTCCTGAAACCCTGAAGGCCATCAGAGAGTTCTCTGATGACATGAAGGCAGCAACACTGCCCTTCCCCCCAGACAAGTCTGAACACTTGGACATCACTCAAGATGTGAAAGCCTCAACACTACCACTACCTAACACAAAATCTGGCCCCCTGGTTTTTGATATGCTCTTCCAGGCCTCCAAGAAGGACAACGATCATGACAACATTAAACTTTCCCATGATTTAGAGGTACAGCTACAGATTGATCCAGAGTGTGAGAAGAAGGACAGAGACAATGTCCTTTTGGGTCAGTCTACAGCAGGAAGTGTGGACACCCACACTGCCTTTCCAGATGACAGTGATTCTGTAAGTTCACATGACTCAGACCTAGATGCATTTTATCAAGAAGCTCTGATGCAGCTTGAGGATGAGGAGAATACAGATGAAAACGTAGCTATGGCTCCCAACCTGCTGGGTCATGGGAATATGGACGTTCCCCACACAGACAATGTTGAGGGCTGGTCCACAAGAATCACATCACGTAAAACTAGCCTCCAAACTGAGCTAGATGACATAGATCAGACCATGTCGGTGTACTCAGAGTTCAGTGCTGGTGTGGACAATGTGAACTTTGTGGGAGAAGATGGCAGTGAGGTGAGCACCATGACACCAGTGCCCCTGGATGACTCTGATGGTGCTGATGAGACCACAGAACTGGTGATGGCTCCACGAGGACCAGAGGATTTCAACAGCCTGAACTCTGAGGTATGACTACCTGGGAAATATTGTAATCTTATCACATACTAGTATAGGCTGCATCAGAAAATGTTGCTGGAATAACCACTGTGACAGTGTGTGACACTGCACTGTAAATTGTTGGATAGAAAGGCTGAGCCGTCCTGCATTTTGTAATGTCATCATATTCAGTGCCTGTAATTCAGTGTAATTGTATTGATTGTAAAAATAATGTAACGTGTAACAGTAACTGACCAGATTCCATTGCAAAGAAACTCGATCTTGCAGGCAATGCAGATACGTCTATTTGAACAGAGTAACAGAGTAAAAAACTCCATGTTGCCAAAGATAACAATATAAGTTTTGGTGTTGCAGCCTCACACCAGTATCCTGCGGAGCTGTGCCAGTCGCAGCAGTGGTCGCAGCGGCAGTGTGGCCACCTACAGCACCGAGGGGCTGGGGTCACAGGAGGAGGAGCAGGTCATTCAGTGGAAGAAGGGAAACCTGCTAGGCAAGGGTGCTTATGGCAAGGTAAGAAATCATCAAAATCACTTTCATTATGATGAAGAAAATTTCTCTAGTCTTGTGTTGAATGTACTGTTACAGTACAAAAAATGGTGGTTTTATTTTCGCCTTTGTTGCTGTGTGGTCTTGATTCGAAATCATGACATTGTGAATTAGGTGTTTTGTACTTGTATTGTTCTGTAGTAAAATATCATTTTTATTATATTACAATTCTGTAGTACAACACATTGAAAGCCTCCTTTTCCCTCATACTGCAAACTAAACCACCACAAAGTCAATTCCTTCACAGTATGTCATCGTCATTGAAAATATATTTTCCGAAGTGACATACAATGTAAATGTACATGCATGATTGGGGGTAACAGAGAAAACAAGGACAGAGTATGTCATCTTAAAAAAGGTTACGGTTGTACATGTATGTAATTGTAGGACCAGTTGATAATATTCTGATGTATTGCGCACCTCTGTGTAGGTGTGTTGTGGGCTGACCAGTCGTGGGGAGTTGATAGCTGTGAAGCAGGTGGAGTTGAACACAGCTCACTGGGAGAAGGCAGAACAGGAGTACCAGAGGCTCAGGGATGAGGTGGACCTGCTACAGACACTCCGACACAGGAACATTGTCAGGTGGGGACAGAATACAATGTAAATTTTACCATTTGTGAGGTATAGTCCTGTGGACATCTATGTATGGCTGCCCTGGAAAAGTGAGTTTAAAAAAGAATTTCAAAGTGGAAATTTATCTGAGACATAATATGAAACTGTTTTACAGCAGCATAATGTCTCAGTTATACAGTTGATTTGAATGTACTGTCACAATGGTGAACTAGAGACAACAGCATGAACAAAGTCATGCATCACTCATTTTTGTATAGTCCTGTAGACATCTATGCTAGATTGTATTTGAATTTAAAGAAGAAAGTCATTTATCTGAACCAGAATATGTTTTTTTTTTATAACAGTTGTTTTGATTGTACATTTTTGACTAGTATAACTATGGTGAAGTAAAAATTAACAGCTTGAACATGTACCTCTCCTCCAGGTTTCTGGGTACGAGTCTGGAAGGTAACGTGGTGAACATCTTCATGCAGTTCATCCCTGGAGGAACCCTGGCCTCCCTGCTGGCCCGCTTTGGTGTGCTGGAGGAGGGCGTGGTCAGCAGGTACACCCGGCAGATCCTCATAGGTGTGGAGTACCTGCACAACAACAACATCATCCACAGGTCAGGAACTGTCCCACCAACAGGGCAGCACAATGGTTTGACGTAAACAACTAGACAAGTCATGTATCAAAGTTCATCAGTGTTGGTAGTTATTTTTTAAAAGCAGGTCCATGTAGATATGATTCAGCACCAAGGACAGGGACAACATTGTCAGTTTGAATGTGATTAGAGACAATGCACATGTGTCCAGAATATATTTGACATTGTACAAAACAGTTACTGGAAGGACCTGGATTGATATTTAGGGTATCACCCAGAAAATAAAAGCAATAATCTTGGAGCTTGTTACTGCAGTTTTGAATGCTTAAAGCATGAAATACCGATTCAAATGTGCTAATGTGTGACAGTATGTGTCAATATCATACAGATTGCCTTATTCAGAATATTTCCAGTTTTGCTGCCCTGAAATTGCATAGGATGCCTTTAAAGTTAAATTTTACATTTGTTCCAAAACAAAGGATTGTTCTCATGTAGAGCTTTCGACCAGTCACTCTGATCTTCTTCAGTAGACTGACCCTGTGAGACTTGTCACAAGGCTTCTCTGAAGTGTGATCTGGTAGATGATGTCAGCCCCCGTTGTGGTTGAGTGATGGGTGATAGTACCTTCTTCATGCAGTATCTTTCTGCTGTATAGACTTATTTCTCACCATGTTTTTCTTGGTGCACCTCTGCTGTCTACAGGGATCTGAAGGGGAACAACATCATGCTGATGCCTAATGGAGTCATCAAGCTGATAGACTTTGGCTGTGCCAGGCGGGTGTGTGAACGGCTCAGTGTCTCCAACAGCCAAGTACTGAAGTCCATGCGAGGTCAGTCGGACAACTTGTGGTTCCTGTATGTTCTTGTTCGTCTTGTGTTCTTGACTTTAAGACTATCATCAGGCTTTGTTTAAAATTAATCTAATATCTATCTCTGAATTATGGATTGATAGGCACCCCATACTGGATGGCTCCTGAGGTGGTATCAGAGTCTGGGTACGGTGTGAAGTCTGACATGTGGAGTGTGGGCTGTACAGTGTTTGAGATGCTGACTGGGAAGCCGCCCTGGGCTGACATGGCTCCCATGGCTGCCATCTTCCACATCGGCAGTGGCAAGGAGGTATGTTCCTGCTCTTCTCTACTCTCAGCTGTCTGTGCAGCATGTATAAGTCATTTCTGTAAGACTGGATTCAAGTAGAAGAGCAGTTACAATGTTGTCTGTTGGTGAACTCTTGCTGTAGACAACAGATTTATCTATATGTTTGTGTTTGTGTTTGTGTAGGTGCCGGAGTTGCCTGACACAGCCTCCCCTCCTGCCCATGACTTTGTCCGTGCCTGCCTGACCAGAAACCCAGACCAGCGGCCGTCAGCCTCTCAGCTGCTCAAGCACCCCTTCATCCTTAGGAGGCAGGAGGAAGACTAGTTACATCTGTATGGAGGAGTTGGTTAGACAATGTGAACAATGTACCATGCATAGTAAGCTAGGTCACAGGTATGACTACCTACATATCAGCTGGATAATGATGTTGCTTGCAAGTCTTCTATGAAATGTAGCAGTTTTCTGAATGTGCATAATATACATTTTGTAATGTAGATAAAAGTTTTTGATTTCCAGCTCATGGGAAACATTTAGTACTTTTGTGCCATTAAGAGGAGCTAACTTATATAAATATTGCTGCAAAACTTGATTCTGTAAGATTGTAAGATTCACATGTGATGGTAAGCAGTATTCAAGAACTATGCAATTCTGAGTCATTCGGAAACTACCACAATTTATGACTAAAATGACAAAAACAAAGGGGATTTGGCTCTAGTCAAAGCAGTTTTTCAAATGTTAAGCCAATTTTGACTTCATGTGGAGATGTTGGTTGATTATTTGACATTCTTGTCATCCATTAATGACTTGTGATATGAAAACTCTTTGAAATCAGTATTATCAAATGAAAATTTGCTCTGAGCATGCTTCCAATTTTAAATGTATACACACATGACAAAATATTGGCCAAGTTTTTACTGAGATTTGTTGGTATTAGATTCAAAATGTGGTCCCAAAATATGTGATACAGAGTGACTACAGACAGACACGAATAGTAGTATACAGTAAATTTAAGTGGATCTCCCACTGGTCTGTTAGGATGCTTATTACCAGTATGTGACATAGATGTTACAAAAATGATGAAAATTTTGTCTTCAGTACTGATCTATGAATTGTTGTGCTGCAGAGATGTGTGTATACATGTATTTTGCATGGTGATACTACATGTCTGTCTCTCCTGTTTCATATGTTCCCTTTAACTGTGTCTTTTCCATCAGAATGTAGCTTATCCGCCATATTGGTGGACACAGACCACAGCAGTGTTATTCAAAGGGAGTGTCCAGTGATTGCTTACTGATTTCACTTCCTGCACAGTGCCTTAATCCACCCTCTGCAGTGACAAATGACATTATTTGATACGAAAACAACTGTTGACATACAGTGTACAGAGTCATTTAAATGGCTAGTAATAATGTTATATTTACCTGAGATGTTAATATAAGTGAAATCTTTAATTTGATTATTTAAAGGGTGTTTGTTTTAGAATTGATCTAATGATAACTGAGTAGTATGTATTTTTGTAATTCATCGTATTATATATATTACGTACTAGTAATCCGTCCGTGAGGTACAGCTTTTAAAGTTGAAACAGCAATGACAAAACAAAGCAGAGTGCTTGTTTTATGTCCATATCATAAGATTGAAGATGTGATGATTGATATTTTTAGCCTGTACATGTTGTAGGTCATGACATGATTTGTTGGGAAAAGGTGCTTTTTTTGCCCATAGAAATGTGAAGTTATTTGCAAAAGAATCTGTATGGCATACATTGTATTCTTGTCGTGGTGACTTTGGTGATGTTATAAAATCCAGTTTTGTTTCTGTCTCGGTACCTCTTTCAGCGTCATTCAGATATTTATTATTTTTGTGGATGGTGTATTGGATGTCAAATATCTGTATATATTTGGTTGGTTGAAGTAAATTCCTAATAAACCCGTATGAATTCTTATGTCATGCCTAGATTGTTTTCTGTTTAACAGACTTGGTCTGTCTTTTTTCTATAGCTAGATTGGCAGATCTTTGGGCTGTAGGTCATGTACTATTGGTCTGACATGTTGATACTGTTGATGACTGTTGTCATGGAAGAGTGCACTGAACAGCATTTGGATGAGATCTGAACAAAAGATGTCTGCCTACAAGAAACAGTTCCCAGTGATAGAACAACATTCAACATTACCTAGCAGGTAAGAATTGGTGTTCGAATTGTAGAGACTAGAAGGTATGCAACACATCCCCTAAAGGGTCAGTCAGTGAGGACATCTAGTCATTTATGTTACTTTTTGCTGCTTCAAGATGCAGGTTTTCCTCCTAATTGTTGCCATTTAGCGGCCCTACGTTTGGGCCAGGTAAAGGATGCACTTCTAAGCTGAAGTAATCTTCATTAGCCTCAGGTACAGACCTTGGTTTTACATCTTCTGTAGCCAGGTGTTCTCTGCTGAAATTATCTTTGAAGTCCAATATATAGTTCTTGGAGTATATATTTCAAAGGATACACAGAGAACGAAGTATCATTAAGTTTTTACCCTTCATTTCCTGCTAAGTTGATTCAGAAGGGATACATGACCCGAGACAACCTCAGATCATGCAATGTCAGACCCAATTACATGACTCCTTATACACTACTACACCAACTAAACAGCAAATTTTTTATCAACCCTGGAACAGTACATTGTAGATGCAACCTGTTCCTTCTATCCCTAAGTTTTTGAAATAAAGGAGAAATATTTAAATAACTTGAAGACAGATATAAAGATCAAAATGATGAATACTCTTGGTCTGAGTTTCGATCTCTTTATTCAAGACCTCAATCCCTTTTGTACCAAGGACCCATTAGTGTGTATTTCTCTTACCACCAGTATACATGTACGTATCACCAACCACTTCTCTTGCATCTGACAGAGTTCACATTTTCCTACACTGCTTTAACTACAGGTTGTTCTCCTGGCTATACAAATATAGCCTTCCTCAACAGTCATTGAAATGTATGGCCCATACTGTAGGTCAAAGTAGCTTTTAAAAAGCCACTTTCCGCTATCTGGTGTCTGTGACTGCAATAGATATTTCTGTAAACATCCTGCTTTGCAACCTCTGACATGAAACACCAAGTCTGTGAGATGATGCCATCATAGAGGGCAACAAGAAGTGGAATTGTGCAAGATAGAAAATATTGCCATAATACACATCTTTTGGCTTATTTGCCATTGATTCAGAAATGTGCTATTGGCTGCCATTAAAGACAAATATTCAGTTTGCTTGGCATCATCTTACTGTTCCTTGGCTGGTTCCAGAATTTCGAATGAGGGGTCCTGTTTATTTGTACAGTATACGATAAATAACATCAAAAGTATAGATTATATGTGCTAAAAATCCTCAACCCATCCACACCAGGCACAAACAACCCCGAGTGGGGTAAGATATTATCAGTATTCCAATCACATATTCATTAAAGATCCTAACATGCACAATATGACAACACACCAAACAGTGACATGATATAGATGTTCAAACACTATTGCAAAATCAACATACAGCATGTAAAATTAAAAACACACAGGATATTGGGCCCCTGCTCCAAGTCTGCAAAATGTGATATGTACATAAATGAAATACATCATAAGGGGATATGTGAATTATGGGGTCTGAAACTGCATAATTCCATGGCAGCTAGCTTCTCATTTCAAGTGAAATGGTGCTAAATTGTATTTTTATTTAGACATTTGGCTTTGATAATATATCAAATTCACATGTAGTGGTCATCTAGTGGATTACATTTACATGAACATACATACATGTAATGTATATTATCTATATCAGATCTTATATTACACATTTGCTGTTTGTTACATGTATTATCTAATATATCTAGTAGTATATACATACAAACAACCCTATAACAATCATTATAGCAGAATTGATGCAGCTGAATATAACCTGCTTACCGGTATATACTAAATATTGTTGAAGATGAGCTGTTTATCCTACTTTACAGCAGCACCACTATAGTTTGAACTGTTCTTTGAGGGGTAGTTGCTTTACACAACAATAGAAACTGTGTTTCTACCTTTCTTGCTTTGACACATTCTGAAGGATATACCTTTACTTCTTTCACATTGTTACGAGGCCAGAAAATGTCTTGCCACAAAATAGCGACTCTTAATGTTAGTTATTTTTATAAACAATTATCTCGGTGGAAGACAGTAAATAGAATAGAACCGAAAAGATTGAGGGTGTCATATTTTGAGAGACTACAAGCGGGACTTGTCTCGTAGCTCATAGAACAGGACATATGCCTCTGATGATATCACACTGCTGGACGAGATGGAACTCACCCTGAAAACAGATAAAGAATCAACATTACGACTGTGTGGTCAATAGACCTTACACATCTGATGAAGGGTATTCTGTAATAACTGTAAGTTCATTCATCTTATTTTTGTGTTTCTTAAAGAGATTTTCACTGTTTTAAATTCACAGTTGAAACAAAGTATAGTAACACAATTAAAATGCATATTCACATTATCATGATTTTGCAGTAAAATGGTCCCTGCAAAAAACACAAAAATAAAACCAGTGCAAATATTTCCAGATTTACAGTATGCATCAGAAAACTACATAATGTATCTGGAGCAAATATACCAGAGGCAAGATTTGAGGCATAAGAAGGGACCGACCTTGAGTCGTTGAAGCAGTGCCAGTCGCTTGATGTGGGGTACTTGCAGTACGCTGTGTAGTGGCCACCAAACGTTGTTCCTGAGTGGTTGGAGACTGCATACAGGTCATAGGTGGCTGGGGCACTTCCTATGTGGTACAAAATGGGGAAAAGTTATGGCTTCCACTATTTGTCTCAACAGTTAAAATAAAGTATGGGAAAATATGGTTCTGACGGTGTCATTTAATTTATCAATTTACTTGACACTTTCTATCACAGCAATTTCTGGTAGCATTATGCCATGCTAGTATATAGGCATGATATACATGTCTACTACTAGGTAGTTTTCTTTAGCGCACTTCTAAGTATTTTACATGTTTTTTAATGGATATGAGCCACAGGCCTGTGGTAAAATAAATAAACAATACACATCAGTCCTTACCTCTGCTCTCAGGACAGGTGAACTCCTGCAGGTTGAGCTTGGCCTGGGGGAAGTTGACGGTTGTGGACAGTTTCTGGCGGTACCTCATGCCAGAGAAACGCTTCAGGTGCAGCACCAGGATCTTGGGCAGCCTCTGCAGGAAGAAGCGCTTGGTGCACTTCCGACGGGCCTTGCACCTGGAACAAGTCTGTTGGGTGGCAAGGGCTCAGTTCAAAGGATTGCAGTAAAGTAAGGTCTACGAGGTGCTTTTGCAAACATATTTCAACATTCACTCCAGAGATTAATGTAGATTTGTAACATCTTTTTTTTCAACTGCTTTTGAGATTGGTAAACCAAAAGACTTTACCATGAACAATAAGTTTGTAAAGAATGGATATAAGCAGCACTATTGCTATAAAATAACTAAATTTGCTTTCTGTCAAGTTTAGTAGCCAACAACCTATACTCACAGGTTTCTCATCGCCATCCAGGACCTCCTCTTCCACAAAGTCCCTTAGACAATCTCGTACATCAACACTGGACTTCTGCAATAAAAGAATCATAGCGGTAAAATCCAGAGAAATAGCTTCATCACGTCTACATGAGCACTGAAACTTTTTGTATCTCAGTGTGTACACTTCTACAACTAGTGCATCCTGCATGTACATGGTTGTACTGTGCAGTTGAAAATACTGTTTAACTTAGCAATCTTCAGTTACTGTACATACTATTAGGTAAAAGTACCCATCAACAAGCAAATGCAGATAAATTCTCTAAATGTAATGAGTTGTCAGACTTTCTATTGATAAAACACTTTGCTCACCTTGGGTATTGGCAGCGACAAATCCCAGAAGGGGTCAAAGGTAACAGAACAATGCTGGCAGTGTGTGCACTGTAGTACACTCTTCAGCTGGCCTACGAACAGGTCTGAAACAGGAATTTAAAAAAGATGCACTACATGTAAGTATGTACAAAAGGCACTGAAGTGGTTAATGTTAAAAAAAGTCATATAATAGTGTTACATACTACCACTACCAAACTGATGCCATAAATAAAAGGTTATGTACCTGTGATTTGGCTGTTGTCCCTGAGTAAGTACTTGTTCCAGGCATGCCGAGCCTTCTGTTCATCACTACAGGTACACAAAAATAAAACATGGATATCAGATCTTTATTTCCCACACTTAAAACTCAGTATCTACTTCACTGGGTCCATCTAGTCCAGAGAGCACAAGTTGTGCCCTAGGTTATTCTATCCATTGCAGTGATTAGGCTGGCACATTTGTGTAGCATTAACATGCCTGTCTAGCACCGATATGAGACTAGTACAAAAAAGTCCATGTTCGGATTGCCACATTTTGCTGAGTTTATGGGGGTGCTGTTTTCAATCGATAGCCTGTGATGGGTATCAGGAATCACTCGTGTATAATTCATTTCTACACACAACAGTTGACGAGTCACTGGACATGTACATGTAGCTTTCAGGGCTAAGAAGCTGGCAAGATATTGATGCAACAGTAAAACCACTTAGTCTAGAGGTGATGTGTCACTGATAGGAAAACAGACGGGGAGTAAACATAGGAAGTAAAATGCCCACAGAAAGGGCTGCCTTTTCAGTACTCTTCCCTGTTTTTAAGTGACTTCCAAGTACAGACACATTGCAAGAATACATGTAAATGTACATGTAGGCGAATCTGGAGCAGGGTTTGGACACATAAATCATATGTGTCTAATATGTAATAACAGATCTTGGGACTGACAGTTAAAGTGTATGTACATGTAGTGCACCCCCATGAAACTCCTTCCTCTTCGCCCCCGCCGTTCTGCTTCGCCCCCGCCCCGTTCTGCTTCGCCCCCGCAAAAAATCTGCTTCGCCCCCGTCGTTCCTCTACGCCCCCGGCGCAATTCTGCTTTGCCCCCGTCCTTCTGCTTAGCCCCCAATGGCGGCACAGCTCACAGTCGACACGAAAATACGTCTACAAAATAACAATAAAGGCTGTGCCGCCAAATTTAATGTAGCCCATGCTCCGGCAAACATTCTGGACCACCTTTCTGCCAAGTGGCGCTGCACAAATCCTTCCCATTCAAAAGTTTACCCCTGCCTCACGGCCCGTCAGTGGTTCTTACGTTTATAAGTACTGGCGGGAAATTTCACTCACGGCTGGACAGACGCTAGGCTGATCGCCATGGAAGGTGGGTACTAATTAAAGCCAACTTGGATAATGGCGGGATTTTGTATCAGCCACTTGAACAGTAACTAATCGTGTTCCTTTTGATACAAGTAGACAATAGTGAAAAAATGACAGCTATCAGTAATAGCGTTAAGTTAAAAATTGTGCTGCAAATACTAAGTAGAATTTATAAGGCAATACCTTGCTGTGTGAGGTGACATGGATTTAGAATGCTGTGTAAAAACTAGACGAGACCACTGACGGCCGTGAGGCAGGGGAAACTTTTGAATGGGAAGGATTTGTGCAACGCCACTTGGCAGAAAGGTGGTCCAGAATGTTTGCCGGAGCATGGCTACATAATTTGGCGGCACAGCCTTTATTGTTATTTTGCAGACGATTTTCGTGTCGACTGTGAGCTGTGCTGCCATTGGGGGCTAAGCAGAAGGACGGGGGCAAAGCAGAATTGCGCCGGGGGCGTAGAGGAACGACGGGGCGAAGCAGATTTTTTGCGGGGCGAAGCAGAACGGGCGGGGCGAAGCAGAACGGCGGGGGCGAAGAGGAAGGAGTTTCATGGGGGTGTAGTGTAGCCAAGCCAAGCACAGTGGTCTGGCAGACCATGAACAGAGGAGAATCCTGGGTATGTAAGCACTATGACATCCTGCAGGTTGTAAGCACTCCTGTGCTGTATATAGATAGGTGCAGTCGTGAATTTGACCTTGTTTGACATCGACTCAACATAAGTGCATCTGAGGTCCTGTATTAGCATCAATATAGAAGCTGTCCTAATGGATCCACCAAGGCAATAGGTTTCCAGCATAATATTAGTCATGACAGACATACAGTATCTCATAAATGACTGAAAAAATATGATATCATATTTTCTGTAGTTCATAATATGCTGCAGGGAAAAAGGGAGGGATTTAAGTATCAATTCAACTATCAGTATCATGTAGAATTTTGCAGTTGAGCTGAATAAATTGTGCCAGAATCAGTTATCGCAGACAGCTATTTTGCATTGTGTATTTCTATATATAATAATATGTATATATTTTCACTTGCTAAGTGAACTTACTAAGTGAAAATGGTAAAAGATGAAGGT